AATTGCAGATTGTGGTCACTTGCCAACTGGTACCGACAGCCGTATTACCTGATCAAGCTCTCCAAAGAGTGCCTCAAAGATCTTTGCTGATGGCCTGAGCTCCTGGATTAGCGGAACGGCCGGTCCTTCTTCCTACACCCTAAGTGGACGCCGTCCCCCGACTTGCTGCTATTCACTGATGCAAGTGGTGCACTTGGCCGGTGCTCGTACAATTGTGACCGGGGATAGGGCGATGGACAGTCAATCAAGCAGAGCAGCAATCGCAAAGGGGTGTTTGCAATTGTGGCAGCCCGCAGCACCTGGGAAAACTAGCGGCATCAGCTGCGAATACCAATCGATGGGCATTTACAGCAACTGCGAGGATATTGCTCATAAGTTGTGGCTTTGGCCTGGCGTTGTCCACTCGTTTCGAATCAGCTGCCGGACTCGATATTCAGAGAGGCAGGAAGGTGGAAAGCGATGTCTGCCCGAGTAACATTCGGACACCACCTGCAGCCAAAGTATGGGTGGCTGCGGCAATGGCCTCAGCCCATGATATCAAGTTCTGACAGTCTTTACCTAGCTTGCACCGCTTGCAAATTGCACGGGTAGCTGCACTTTGTGATCCGCTCCGGGAGTGCCGATTAATGGAATATATGCTCTAAACTGGTTATGCATACCAATGTATTTAGCATTTGGCGGCTCTACTCAAAGCCATTGGCGGCTCTACTCAGAGTCATAGGCGGCTCCATGCGGAGTCATTGGCGGCTCCATGCGGAGTCATTGGCGGCTCCAAGCGGAGTCATTGGCGGCTCCATGCGGAGTCATTGGCGGCTCCATGCGGAGTCATTGGCGGCTCCATGCGGAGTCAATTTGCGGCTCCATGCGAGGTCATTCGGCGGCTCCATGCGGGGTCATTCGACGGCTCCATGCGAAGTCATTCGGTGGCTCCATGCTGAGTCATTTGACGGCTCCAAGCGGAGTCATTTGCCGGCTCAGCTGCGAGCCATCTAGTGGCTCCAAGCAGAGCCATCATACCTGTTGCTCGAATCGGCACTCCCAGCTTAATCCAAAACTCGGTTGCTCTGTTGTAAGGTGGGGGGATGCTAACCTAGGAATGGGTTTGCTCCCCACACTGGAGCTCGCGCTATTCCGTTGACTTGACACTTGCCGGACTCACGACTGCCATCCAGAGTCGCCACCACTATTTCTAAACCATACGGCTAATTATTTTAGTTAGCTATCCACTTACCGGTACAGTAAAACCTGTGACTACCGACCACCCCTTGGTGCCAGCAAAAGCGGTCTTTAGTCCGACTACCGACCACCCCTTGGTGCCAGCAAAAGCGGTCTTTAGTAGCAGGTGGTCTTTAGTTAGAGGTTTGCACCGCGTGACCATAATATGTGGATCCCATTATATGATATGTATGTCAAAATGCAGCTAATACAATTCCCCAGGACTTGCGCAATGTCATTCTTATTTCAGGTCAAACAACACTTGGAGAGAAAGACGGAGAGATGGAGAGAGAGACAGAGAGAGAGAGAGAAGATTAATTTTTTGCAGACTTCAAATTCAGCTGACGGCAGGAGTTAAATGTTCCCTGGGGAAGTTTCGTTTTGCGCTGGGCTTCAAATTTGTTCATGCGATCAATCGTACCGACTGTCCTTGTTGTGACTTCTCGGTTGCTTGAACGCGATCCTTCAGCATCAGGACCTTGTGGTGCTGCTTTGTTTCTGGATTCCTTGATGCCATCGTCGATCCGTCTGTATGACCGGGGTGACAGAGCCGCCCAGTCTTCGTTTCTCCTCCGAGTACCGTACTGGCAATATATGTTGCCGCAGTGAGGCCATGAAGCGTTACATTGGCACATGTTTGCCGCACGCAGGGCGTTACATGCAAAGTCGCACAGGAGCCGTTACACAGGTTTCTATATTGCCGCAGTCCTTTTTTTGCTATTGCCGCATCACTTTTTTGCTTTTGCCGCATCATTTTTTCTTGTGCAGTGCAAACTGCAATGAAAAGATCGCCGCACCCCGCCGGACGCGCGTTACGAACTCAACGAAAATTTGTCGCACTAGCCTGGTCGCGCGTTACGCCGCACCCCCCTGCGTTACGCGTTACGCGGCAACATATATTGCCAGTACGGTAGTAACATCGATCAGAGAGCGCTTTCGATGCGCTCTCCAAGACGTTTCCTATCATGTTTTTTCTTGACAGCGCTTGACATTTTGACAGGTGTAGTGCAGTCCACACCTACTCCACAGCCAAAATTACCTGCGTTCATTTGTTCAGCTGTAGTATCGAAATATTCCTTTCAGGACCATGGAAAATCAGTAAAATTTCAGGAAGGAGCTTCGAGCAACATTTGATTTTCTACATCGCGGTCGCTAGTTACGGGTCAAAAATTGTCTTTGGGACAGGAAAAGGCGGTCGCTGGTCGCATTCAGCAGGTAGTCGCTAGTCACAGTGCATTTTGAATGTGAGACCGTCCATGCCTGGCCAAGTGGCCGGTAGTACCAGGCTGGTCGCTAGTCACGGTGGTCTTTAGTTACAGGTTTTACTGTATATCCCTTACCAAAATTGTATTCTTGAACGCAATATTCTTCTTTCTTTTTCTTCTACTCCGTTCCATCAGCACTCGGCCGGTGGCACGAGATTGGCACCCACTGGGCTAGCATGCAGCAGCCAAAGCTGGGGCCTTTTCTTACTCCGTCAAACCCACTTCTTAGAACGAAACTGACGCGCATATTCACATTGCATGTTGTGAATGTCCCCATATTTGCCCCGACATCTTAGCTCGTACAGCGCTCCAGATGCATCTATGCTACGGTGCGCACCGCATACTCGAATTACGGTACGGGACACATACGGGATACTGCACCAACCATGGCATGCCACGTGAACCACCCTACCAGGCACCGAGACACGCACCGAATTATAGCGGTGTGGATACTGGCTAGCACCAGATGCTACTAAAGTACAACTGAATAGCGTCTTTTGCATAGCTACGGGAATAAACTCATATCCCAAGCATTGCAGCTCTGCTAATAGAATAAATCAGGTTACTCCCACTCCATTTCTCTAGTGCTTATTTTCTGAAAAATGATCATCTCTGGCACCAGAATGCTGCCACCAAGAGTACATTAACCAGAGTGTGCAGCCCAAGGAGAATCATCCCACGGCAAAGTTTATTGTTTAGGGCATAGACTCGCAGTAACAGGCTCACCTTTGCTGCATCTCACACCGCTTCACACGGTCATCTACTCTATCACCATGGAAGTTTCTGTTGCACATTGCTTCTTGTTTAACAAAAACGTAGAAAACACACCGAATTTCCAGGAATTACCATGGTGATACGGTACTTTAGCTTGAACCTATTGTATGACGGGTTTTCTATGATTCATAATGACCCAGGGAATAACTAACAGTTAGCGACGCAATTCTTCTGAGGTGTAAAGTGACTTCAGGAATACATGTATGTTGCAGAAAACTGCGATGCATGCTGACTATTTACTGTGCCCTATTGTGCACCATACACCTGGTGGGTTACTCAGGGATACAGTAGATGCACACAAGTACCGTGCATCACGGCACAGGCTAGGTTCGCAACTAGCTGCTACAGTGTACTTGTGGTACGAACTTGCACTCTACTCAGCTCTGCATACGCAAAGAGTGCTGGTGCCAAAATGAACCAGAAGGGTGCTGAGTGGGACGCAACAACACTGACTCTGTATACCCATGTACACAGATATGGTAGGATATTCAGTACCTGCTCTAAGATTTCACACAAACCGGGTACACGTCTACCTGGCACAACTCCTGCAACACTGGGCCACAGCCAGATGCGTTCAAGTGCGGCTTCTGTGTGTCAGGGAGTCGTAAAATTACTTTCGACTTCCTGATGTACATGATTGTACATGTACATGACCCTTGTATGAACGTACTCGCACTGGGCACTCTGGCCGCACGCATCTGCACGCGTATGCAGCCTGTCAGTGGCGGTATACCCCTCGAAGTATAAAATAATATAGACTCGACAGGACTTCCGACCGGGTCGCAGGTAACCCAGTGTTCTTTTCCCAAAAGGTCCAAGTACTCACAAACAGGGCCACTGACCCGGCCCTGGAGCAGACACTGGTAATCTAGGTCCAAGTTTGCTCGATTTTGTTCTGACGCTTCATGTGCTTTCATAGCCAAGGTTTCTCACTTTCTTCGCAAGCTCTTTTAGTCTTGAGAGTTGACAACTGCTTATGGTTGTGTTGGCAGAAAACATGTCAGCTAATCTGACAACCGTCCAAACCCATTTTACTGGTAAGTAGTCAGCGAGTGGCTTTGATGGGGCCGTACTAGAGGGAAAGTTACGCGGCATATTTGTGCTTCCTTTTTGAAAATACGTTCTCGCTCGAAGGGTTTCTAAACTTTATCCCTGCGCTCATTGATGGAGTTCATCGATGGAGTTGCCAGCAGCACCCTACAGAAGAACAATGTTGTCAAGTTTTTGATGAAAATTGTCAAACATTTTCAAATTGCTATAAGTTTGGTTAGGGCCGGGTTCCACTGCGGCTCCGCAGCTCCACAGTACTTGGCTGCATGCAGCAGAGCGGCGCGGTTCCAGTGACACTCGCCATTCGCGGTTCCAGTGACACTCGCCATTCGCGGTACCGCGATCGTGCTCGACGTTTTTGATGACATTTAGCCCGCCTGCGCGCGCGTGAAATCCCAAAAATCCTCGTGTTCTGCCGGGCCTGTGCAACGAATTAAAACTCCCCCGTATAAAACAATTAATTAAGTGCGGGAAACAATGCAAGCCGTGACCGCGGCTTGCATTTTTTGTATCAAGCACTCGCGGCGAAGCGAAAGCTGGTGATGAGCCGCGGCCTCGCTGGACCAGCTCGTAATGATGACGTTTCATGCCGTGGATGTGCGGCGGAGTGGCAGTGGAACCCAGCCCTTAGGCAAAGGAAATTTGTCATGAATTTATTTGTTTATGCTGCATAGATGGAGAGCTGCACACTCTGGCTTATGGACTCTCGCCTACAGTGTAGTCGTACTGCTAGTGTACTGGCATTAGACTATCACATGCAGTATACTGTCTGGCAAGAGGACTCAGGAGGGAATATTAGGACAGACAGAAGACACGAAAAACGAGAACATTATTATGGCGAGAAAGTAATTACTGGCTAAGAATTGCCCTAAGACTTACCGCTTCTCAGTGCTCCATACCAGGAAGTAGTACAATACCTACTCCCTGCTCCATACGAGTGTTTTCTCCTCATTCTCTGCATCCTTTACCCCAGGAGTCTCGTCCATTTAGCGGCTCAAATGCTTGAGCTCCGGATAGCGGAAAATAGCTCGTCTTCCATTAGCGGCTCTAATACTAGTACCTGGTCTGAAGTGTCGCAGTCTAGCAACTATGATTTTTTCCAGGAGGGTAAGGGTTGCAAACCCAAAGAGACCCTAAGCTTCGTCTATCAAACAAAACAATTGCCCTAAAAAATGGAAGAGGAAAAGAGTGAGCTGAGCGAGCTGGTCTGAGCGCGCTACTTTTCAAAAATATAGAAGCTGAAAGCCATCAAAGTCAAAGCATTCTGGCTAGCGCGTTTGTAGTACGTCACGAGCGCTAGCGCGCTAGTCGCAGCAAACTCTCGCAGGCCAGAGTTGGCGCTATTTGTGCTGTTTGCCGCACGCGGCAGCTGGATGGATCACGTGATCCAAGCTGACAAATAAGGTCCGATGGTTCAGCTACATTGAGCCACAAGCCTTGAGAACAGTTCCATGCACGGCAGGCCAGGGCGCCAGCTCAGGTCGCACGCCGTAGCGGCGTGAGCTGGGCGCGGTGAGGGTTGGTGATAACTACAGTTTCCTCCTTCCTCCTCCGGAAACTTCCATTTTAATACATGTATAAGCAGTCAACATGGTCAATATAGCCCTTAAAGGACCCAGGGAGTGATAAATGACTGTACTCAGGGAGCTTGATGATTGTCATTGCGCTCAGTAGCAGTAGTCCTCCCAGCGGCATGCACTTCACCACAGTTCACAACAATATTCTAATCTTTACTGTTCCTTTTCCACCTGCACTCCTCCTTGTCCAAGTTTCCCTTTTCTCTCTAGCTCTTCTCTTGTACCTTCTTGCTGTTTTAGTGTTTAAAATAAACCAAGTCAAGACTTCACAACAGTTTGTACTTGGAGTTGGAATGCAGGGGCAGGCTTTGTGGTCTTGGCTTGCTGACATGCATAGCTGCAGACTACACTGTACACTGCACAGTCACAACAAAGCGACATCCATTCACAAGACGACAAGGTGCTATTATTTTTGCCTTGCCAGGGGAATCTCCTCATGTCATTACCGACTACAGTCCATTCATAAAAAAATGGGTCCTGGCTCTGGCGAGCTCCCGTATTTGGCGATTTTTCGTGATTTCATCGTACACAGTGCAGTGCTGCTTACTTTGAAATTTGAAAAGGGTCCAAAAAGGGTGCCTGAACTGGGGTTCGAACCGCAGAATGCACTGTTGCAGGCGGGGTCAAACGGCCTGGATTTTGATGGTTTTTCCCAATTCAGTGCTTTTGGGGCAAAACCTGGCCGAAATCTTATTCTTGCTATGGCTTGCTTTTTGGACAAAAAAACTTCAGAAACATAATTGGAAGAGGATTCTCTATGGGATTGCAGAAAAAAATTCTAAAAAAACTCAACGTTTGACCCATTTATGGCCAAAAGCTAGAAGTTCATTTTTTTCTGAATGGACTGTACATGTACATGTTTCAGTACTGGCACTGCAGTGCAGTGTGTAGCGTCTATCATACCCCTAATGGGCTCTATCATCCTACGTCTATGACTCGATGACAGACAGACACACACACGTACACACACACACACGTACACACACACACACACACACACACACACACACACCACACACACACACACACACACACACACACATCACACACCACACGTACACACACACACACACACACACACCACACGTACACACGCACACGCACACATACGAAGGATGGAGACCACACGTAAATAATTACACGTCCGAGTTCTCTGCCAGACTCTGGTTCAGTGGTTGTGGGTGGATGAGTTTTGCCTGGTCGGTCATACTGGGTGTGTCAACTGTCAAACCGATGCTTTCTCACTCTGTCAACATGCCACAGCTGATGAGCGTGAAGCGTGCACGCAACGTTATGTCGTTCCGTATTCCAAGCAAGGCTAGGCTGCGTGGCCACCCGACAACGGTTTGATGCTCCATCATCCAAGCAGCACGGTGGTATTCTGTGCCAGGAAAAAAAAGATTCAACCGACTCGGAGTGGGGTCAAACCGACGAAGACGAACCCGACGAAGCAGGACGCTCGGCTGGGTGCATGGTTTCATGTAGTGCTGAGGATAAACTTCCTGTGCACATGTGCGAAGCAGACTTCGCGACTTCGCGATGTCGCTCTTTCACGATGCCGCGCAGGACGGTGATCTGAAGCTGCTGCGCAAGGCATCCAAGCGAGATGTAGCACGACTGGATCAGGATGGCATGTCACCCATGCACTGGGTTGGCTGGAGTGGCAACGTGGACGCCGCCAAGATCCTTCTTCAGAAAGGGTAAGGAAGATGAAATTAATTATTGGTAGATTAGCGCACCGGGTACCGTATACCTTGGTGGGGCCGGGGTACATGCGTGGTCGTCGAGAGGCCAAGAAATAATTAATTGAAGGCAAGGTTCGATCGTGTGCAGCTGTCGAACGTAACTTGTGATGGTCCGTTGTGCTGACCAGGGAGTCGTCCGTACCTTGGTGGAGCTGGGGTACATGCGTGGTCGTCGAGAGGCCAAGAAATTGAAGGCAAGGTTCGATCGTGTGCAGCTGTCGAACGTAACTAACTTGTGATGGTCCGTTGTGCTGACCAGGGAGTCGTATAAACCCGGATTTATACGACTCCCTGGTGCTAATGCATCTTGACGCACCCACGAACTGACCGTCCATTCAGGAATCAGGGGATCTAATCGTGAAATATGTTTTCACATGCAGCTCCCCTCGAATTACCATTGGCATTGCCATTGGCATTGGTTACCTGGTTCCCACAAAGCAATGACGTCATGACATGCACCTCGTTACACGTGCACTCGTGTCTGTCTTATTCGGGGCCCGGTCCGGGACCAGACACTGCCCATAAGTTGGCATAACTTACTTTGAAAGGTCCGTATTAAACTCTGAATCACAAAATAATGAGAATCCTGCGGCTCGGTAGACGGTGCTCAATATTCATTCGAATAGAGCTATCTTACACACGGCACAGAGCACTACGCATCATTCGTGCATACTTGCCAACCATACCGGTTTCCCGGTCGCTAACGGCATACCGAGGCTTTTTGACTTTGATCGAAAAACTACCGGTATTGGCACTGAACCATGAGTGTTCATAAAAAGGTTGTTTTGTGGTGTGACAAGAGCACATTCGGCCCTGCATTTCACAGAATCACACATGTATGGGCGATCTGACAATCAAGAAACTCAGGTTTTGGTCCCCCAATGAGCAATGGATTAGAAATGAATAAAAAGAAAGAACAAAATTGCGAAAAAGTTGCGGAAAAATACGCAATAATAATCAAAAATTGCCCAAAGAAAAGAGAAATTGGCCGAAATTTGCGAAAACCAGGAAAATAAGGGAAATGAGAGAAAAACAAGGGAAACTGGGTGTGTGACTGAGGGATTTACTTTGGCTGGGTTGGCAAGTATGTTCGTGGTGCTCTGTGCCATGTGTAATTCTGACTCGCGTACATACCGGTAATCATTTCAAAGGGGAAGGGTCAGTGATCTGGCGTGTGTCGTCGCTATTTCCACAAACATTGGCAAACTGCGTACTACCGTAACGTACCGTTGATCCGACCCCCACGCCATGTCGCTTCCCAGCTGGGTTTTCGGCAGGGGGCGGGAATTAGATCAAGGCTGTCAGGTGCAGTGCGATGTACAACACCGTGGAAGTTCTGACTCGACGTGCTGCATTGTGCACATTTTCATCCTGCACTGGCACGTGTTGTGTGCAGCAGTGCATGCGTCAGTTCAACATCGTATTTCATTGTATACGCCGAAGTTGCTTCACAGGCAGAAAATCGACAGGGGGCGGCAATTAGAGAGGGGGCGGATCAACGGTACTTTACAGTATAACCAAGAGTACATAACCCCCCAGAGTGTGCAACTCCACTATGGGTGCTGTCCCGACAGAATTTCAAGTTGACGTCATTTTGATGATGCAATGCGCACTGTACACGGATTATCAGACGAATCCGGAACCTGTGGTTGACCGAAGCCGATCGATCCTGTACAAATTATTGCAAAGAATAACGTGTGATGCGTTGACACCCGTACACATGTTGTAAATCACTGGTGCAAGGAGCATTGCGTCATAAATAATGACGTCAACTTGAAATTCTGTCGGGACAGCAGGGTATGTGGGAGTTGCACACTCTGGGGGGTTATGTACTCTTGGTATAACTCACCCACATGGTGCCCGGTAGATCGAGGTTCCCGTAACTTGGAGGTCCGCATAAGATTTTTAGTTTTAAGAGAGCTACGAGTGGACCATAAAGTACCAGGCTGCCAGAGGACCGTAGGCTCCGTCTTGCCGGAGCGCCCCACCTTGATTTACAGTTAGGAAACGGTACGACGGAAAGGCCAGTGAGGAAAGGAAAAGTTGTGTAGACAAGGAGTTGTACAACACCAGTAATATGATGTGTTATATATTATACAGTCCTGCTTCATGAAATCCAGTCACGTCACTCAAGTACGCGCTGGGCATTGCGCAGCCCTAGACCTTGACCTGCGAACACTGGGCTGAGAAATGGTGCAAGACGCGACTGGGTTTCATGACTGTTCCAGCTGTAATTGGCGATAGTTTCTCACACGATTGTGGTACGTAGTTATTGTGTTGGTTCACATTTGCGGGTGTCACCGGGGAGCGGCTGGGAGAGGCACGCTCAGCCCCAGTAGGCGCACAATGGCGATATGTAAACAAGTGTAGGATACATGTATGATAAATTTAAACTCGTAGCATTTTGTCCTTTCTTTTTATAGAATAAATTAGGGGTGAAACGAGTATCTATTTTGACCAACCGATCACTCGTTCATAATATTCGATCGAGTATCCGATTATTTCGAGTATTTTATCAAAATTCAAAAGCACTAGATTTGCGAGTTCTCGACCAATTCGGAAGAAATTATCTGTGAACATAGAACAAAAGTCGCCAACGTCTTGTACAGAGTGTAAAGTAACGATTTTCATCAGTACTTTCATATCTCAGAACGTTACTTGCCGTGGTGATCGCATCGTCCAAGTCTTAAAATACTGACTCAAAGCCATGCATAACGCATGCATACCAGTGGACCAGCCGTACAACAAAAGTTTTTGAAAAATACAATGCCAATACTTAAAAAAAATAAAATAAAAAAAACGATCGAGTGCAAAATTTCGAATACTCGCTCGTTTGAAATTTTCGAACGAATACTCGAATATTCGAACTAATCGTTTCACCCGTAGAATAAATTAATAGTGCTTTCTGACATGTCACAAGACTTTAGTTACGGAGATGACCAATTGCATTGCACCTAGCAGGGCCTAGATGAGGCGATCAAGGCATGCTACAACTCCATACCTAGGGTACCCTGTAAAAAGGCCTTAGGCCTGTGGGGATTGCCCTATTCAAAATTTAGATAATAATAATACCTAGTGGAGCCGGCTTTGATTTTCCCATCAAAGCCCGCCCAGGCGGGTGTAGTGTTCACACATACATGTACATATATGGACTGTCACACGCATATATACACAGTGCCGTTTGTACTCCTATCCATTTACATGGGCCGCTTTCCACACCTGTGCTGACAGTCGGTATGCACCGACTCTGTACTCATGCACGCACACCATGACATTCTGTTGGCATGATATTGCGGAGCTTTCCGGAGCTCCGGGTTAGTTGTTGTTTGGAATAAAGTAAGAGACCTACATTACAGCGGGCTTTTGATTTACTGATCAAGCTCCTTTTTTTTTTATTTGAGAAGGTTGAGTCGTGCTTTCAAGCGCGATAGGAAGATCGAAGTGCGTGTTCATGTCAGAAATCCGATCAAAACAGTCGTGTTCGTGTTCCATCAGCCAATCATTGCCCTTCACAAAGTATTTCCAAGTAACAGTTAGTTCGATATGAGTTCACAAGTGTGGTTGCATGCCAGAAATGTAATCAAAGCACCCGTACTGGTGTTCGATCAGCCTATATCACAGCCCGTCGCGTGGCGGGCCACGTGATTAGGTGATCTCACACTCGTGCTCTTGCTTGATTCCATACGTAAACCAACCAGTTGCAATGTGTGTGTGTGTGTGTGTGTGTGTGTGTGTGTGTGTGTGTGTGTGTGTGTGTGTGTGTGTGTGTGTGTGTGTGTTAGTGGTGGCCAATTCATCAGCCTTGCAGGCTGTTGAATGGTGTAATCCCAGCACTAGTTGCTATGTCTAACATAGCTGTTCGCTATCATTGCTTCTGCGATGGGCAGGTCTGAGGTGTGTGTGTGTGTGTGTGTGTGTGTGTGTGTGTGTGTACTCCGTGATTTGCCTGTGTGCATCCAGAGCGAATGTGGAGACAGCCGACAACAACGGGAACTGTGTACTGCACGTGGCTGCACAGTATGGGAACGTTAAACTGCTGAGATACCTGGTCGAGGAGGCTGGCGCGAGCGTGTGGGCGCTCAACGACGATGGCAAGACAGCCTGCGAGGTGGCAGCCGAAACCGAGCAGAGCACTGCCTTCCGCTACCTGGACGCGCTGCAGCTGCGGCTCAGGGTCGACGATCCGGACAAGGCCGACAAGTCACGGCAGCGCGCCCGCAAGGCGTGGGCAAAACGAGCAGATCGTCGGGACAAGACGGCTGGGCGGGAGCAGGGCGCCGAGAAGGTCGTGGCAAAATTACGCAAGCGCCAGAGCAGTGAAAGCATTTTGCCGATCAACCCGACAAAAACTGGTGTACCACCATCAGCGGCAGCACCGCCACCAACGTCCAGAACAAGACAAATGAGTCAAATTCTGCCCAGGCAGACTGAGCCAGAGGTATCTCTTGTGGCTTCGGGTCGTGAGCGGGCATTCTCCGATCCCACGCAGGATTTGCACACCCTCGACAGAAGGGATCACCCGGACATTACGGAGAATGATGATTCCGAAGCGGATGGCGTTTTCCAGCCTGACCCGCGGCCTAAAGCATCCCACGGCACACATAAGGCGTCATCCAAGCCAATGCTCTCGACGAAATCCGAATCTCTTGAGGGAAAGCCCTCAAGCCGGCGTAGCAATCAACTTCCGAGTACCAGCTTCGAGAACGCGTCGGCAGCGCAGGCCATGGCTCGATACCAGGGTTCGAATTTGCGCTCGCGCTTCTCCCTGCGCCCGTTGATGTCATCCGGTGCGATGACAAGCTCCACTAGTGGCGTTGGTACGGATCTCTCCGGCATGTCCAGCCTGGACAACTCGATGGGATCGGCCAGCGGATCGCGTACGGCAATGGCAATAGCCAGAATCAAGGGTCTAGGCGGCCTGAACGCATTGACGCACAGCGCCACACCCGCTGACAAGGCACGCAAAGCTTCCGCTCCGGTCATAACAGCCTCTGCTGAACTCGAGCCCGTCACCGTGAGCAGCTCGTTCCAACGCTACCGAGTGCACAGCGATTCAACTGCCATGGGACCCTCAACCAGTGCTGCGACCCTCAAGCAGAAGCCACAGGTGAGCAGGAAAAACTCTGCTGCGTCCACTGCTGGTGCGATGCGACGGACATCCTCTTCGGCGTCGGCCAACTCCGCCAAATCGTCGCGAAGCCTTCCGGCACAGCTTGCGTCACGGCAGCAGTCACGGCGGCCGAGTGTGCCATCGCCGACGGGGAAGGGCGCGAAACCGGAGGAGAGTATCGGTGAAGATCTAGAGGAGACCAGCCTGACACCTATGGCTACGTTCCTGCACATGATCGACCTTGATGATCACCTGTCGCTGCTCGAGGAGGAGCAAATGGACCTAGACTCACTTATGCTCTGCAGTGACATGGATCTCAAGGATCTGGACATGGCGCTAGGTCCACGGCGCAAGATTCTCGCCGCCGTCCAGAAACGAAAGGCGACGCTGAGCAGCGCCGAGCGTCGTACGCTGCAGGACAGTGAAGTTTAAAAGACACGGGGGTGACCATACAAGCGGGTGCTCTGCACATGTTTGGATAGTACAGAGACGGCGTAACTGCCTGGCTACCCGGCACACTCTTATGCATCACTTCAGGCTTGCTTGCAATTTCATACGAGGGTAAGCAGCCACAGCCTTCGGCCTGTTCATCATCAGTCAATGGTGGAAATGGAACAAATTCCTTTGACTTGCAATTCCAGCCAGTAGTAAGTGACTGTGATATAGGTGCCATCCTTGATACTTGACACTTGAACACCATCTTGAGTTTTGCATAGTTCTTGACAGAGGCTCTCATTTAGAGTTATAACAACGTTATGACAACTCAAGTTCTCTACATATCCGCCAAGTATTGAACGTTGACCTAGTGGAGTAATGGCGAGTTTTCGAAAGTGCGTATTCTTTAAACGCCCACTATCAGTGTTTGACACGTTAGCCGCTAAGGTCTGGCGACGCCGCAGACACGATTACTGTGCTATGCATGGACTGTGCACAGCTGGTGATGGGCATGGCACGAACAGCTTGCAACTGGGGGTTACTAATAACACAGCATGCGCCAGTTCTGGGGTGCCGGAGTTTCCCTAGCCCTGTCACTACAAACCAGGGAGTTAAGTTGCACTACCACTTTGTTTTTTCAGCACAACCCCAGTGACTTGGTATTATTCAAGAGCAACTTCCAGATTTCCGCCGGCATATCACGACTATAGCTATACTGTAAACCGTGAAATTATTGCGATGGTCCGCGACCGCGTGGAAATCGCGAAATTTAGACAGCGCGAAAAGGAGATCCATGAAAGGTTTAGCAAGAATGCCATTCTGCAATCGCAAAATTAAAACCTCGCAAACCTGTCCGGATTCTGAAAACGCGAACTAAAAACGCCGCGAAAATTTCACGCTTTACAGTACACAGTCATGTGACTTCTTGCTACTTCAAAAAAAAGTATTAGTCAGGTATACAGCAGATTCTGCTACTACAGTAGAACAACACAATGGCGAAGGATTACAATACTGTTGGGCGTTGAAGAACGGCCAGGCTAGAATTTCACCAATTTTTAAGAACGGTGTAGGCTGGATTCTTCAGATAAGAACGGAAACCGTAATATACACTATAATGTACACTCAGACGTATAACTCTGCATAAAATTATTTATAGAAGTGCATGTAAGCCGGTACCATCGAATAAGAACGAAACTGCCGTCTTCGCTAACCATAAGAACTAAACGGGCTAGGCTAGAACCCTGACTACCAGTTCTTCGGCGCCTGACAGTACTGTATATATACGGGAGAACTGGGTTTCCCGAGTATACCGTACAACTTGCACATTTAATACATTGGCATCCTTTGATACTGCCATAACTGAGACAAGCCGAGATAACCCCACAACACACACACGAGCACGCACAGACAGACACACACACAAACACAAGTAGTTGAGTAAATGCCACAGCAGCGTCACGTGTGGAGATCAGACAACTCTAACCTGCTTCAGCAAGCTCAGGCTGCCATCTTGCGTAAGCGGGAGAGTAGCAACTCTACAATCAAAATAGCATGCAGCAGACAGCAAGACCACCCAGGTTAGCTAAGGGCATGGACAAAACCGGGGCCTTCTCGAGACACAAGCAAAAGGTTCTGACAAGACCTTCCACACAAGTATCAGTATCATGAAACTAAAAAAATTATTGAAATCAAACATTAAATATTCGTCACAGCTTCAAGCCACAGCACAAGTATCAGCGAGTGTGCGGCGGTTCCCATGAGAAATGCTGCCGCTACGCTGTGTACGGATGGAGGTGCCACAGGCGCACGTTGCCGCACGGCAGCATTTTCCACCGGCGCAGAGGTACCTGCGCCACGGTGCAGATGTACCTGCGCCACGGTGCAGATGTACCTGCGCCACGGTGCAGATGTACCTGCGCCACGATGCATCAGAAGGCGGCGAGCCGGGAGAAGAATGGTATGGCGCCAAGTCAGAGCACGCGTAGGTAGCATACAGCATGGATCAACAGCGCGCGCACACACACACACACACACACACACATGCTAGTGTCACAGCGGCAAGCCGATACCGAAGGGGGCTACACGCCGCCGTGCAGCTCAAACCATGCAGTAGACTCCGGCCGGACAAGGCAAGCTATACACAGCGGGGCCAAGAAGCATCTGCACACCGAATCGAGCCGGCTGTTGGATAGTATCTAGAGATTGTCACCGACTGGTGTACTCTGTGCTGCTATGTCGCATGGCTAGATGCACATCTTAGTCCAGCTCTGTGCTGAAGCGGGAATCAAGTGAGATTAGTATCACAGAGGTGGCGGTTGTGGCGTGTTACATGAAGTCATCCTCAACAGCGCGGGCATCTACCGGATCCGAACCGTAATCGTTCATCTCCATCTTGCTGGAGTCCATCAGTGTATCGTACGAGCGAAGTGCTGCCTGCTCCTTTCTCTCCTTTTCCAGGACTTTCTCCTCCTCCTCGCGTTTCTTTGCGGCACGGCGCCGGTCGCGAGCGTCCTCTTGCTCACGCTCGTCTCGCTCCTCACGCAAGTCCGGGTGCTTTTCTACTTTCGTCTTGTTGAGCCTATTCACAATCTCATTGACCCGCTTCTCCACACGCACTTTTTTCACTGCCTTGTCGCTGTGAAAGCCAACCTGCCCTACAACCATATCTCCAGTCTTCTTCAGGTTCGGGTACGGTGTGTAGACGACATCGATACCATTCAGCTTGTTTCCCTGGATGCTGTTGGCTTTGACGAGCTGAACACAGTCAGTGATCGCCGCCTCTGGGATATCCTCAACAGCCATGTCTCGAGGTGGACGCAGGTAAACGTGAGCGGACGATAGTTTGTCCACGTGGAACCAGATGTCTTCAGAGAGGCCGTACTTGAGAAGCTCCTCATTTTCGTGCTTGTCAGCACCCATGTACACCACCATAGGTGGATCCACCACATTGCAGACGAAAAAGAAAACCATTCTGCTGTTCAAGGACTGTATTGGCTAACGTTGCAGAACACTTGTCAGCTAGATCAACAATTCGCAGGGCAGGGCAGAGGTTCCCACCCAACACCTGAAATCTATGCTAGACACTACTCACAACGCACAAAGCTCTACAGCAAGCAAAGGAACATCAGTACTAACCCAGTCAACTTTGAAGAAGACTTTTCTCAACCTAAAAGTAACGTTGCATCCAAGTAATTATTTTGGTGATTTGAAATGAAAATGATTCTTCTTTCAAAATGCGAAAAATATCTTTTGCGCAAGGTTCTGTCAGTTTTTTGCATGCGGATGACGTAGATGCACGTCACTGGCAGTCTAGTACATAGTCATTAGCACTTGCATATGAACCCACGTGAACTGAGCGCATGCGCAAATAAAATGGCGATCACGCCCCAAGTACGAAATCTGCCAGGACGAGGTGTGATTTTTTTGTTCAGACTGTGGTGTGAGTTTTCTAGCTGAGTTCTCACTCTCAGCATGGGATGATAGGGGCTATGTACGCATATGCTGACTGTGTATTTATGGGGGTGAAAGAGAGTGCATTTTTGCAACATTTACGATTTAGCAAAGACACAGCTGGTCTTTCTCTCCATGGCCCACTGTGTGGAAGGTTCCTGTGCGTGGATCTTGTGGTGAGCGAGTGGATTTGCGACGCGCGGTGCCGTTGCCTGCATCATATCAGCAAAGTAACTGTGCCCCATCGCTCGAGGCGAATTTATCGTGATCATCATTGTGGATTGAATAAATAAACGTCAAGTGAAACGTATTTCTGGCCATTTGCAGAACGGGACCGCCAGGAAGTGCGCAGGCTTCCGTCAAAGGTATAGTATTCGCACTCACACAGCCAACGGACGCGGACATCCTATTGTTTTTCTCCCAAGGAGCGGCAGTGGCATTGATCAGAGCTGCCGAGCGCCAGTGGCAGTACCCTAGTACTAGTACTACTACCACACATCGTTACCGCTGTACGCCAAACTAGTCTTTCTCAACACCGAAGATATGATGCAAAACGCAGATCCGATCACGACGACTGTGCTGCAGCTCATGTGCCATCGCACCGACGGCGAGACGGAGCTGTTTGCACGACGCGCGATCGACTCGCTCGTGAAGAAGCTCAAGGATCGGAAGGATGAGCTGGACGCGCTGATCACAGCAGTCACGACGAGTGGGTCGCAGCCGTCGAAATGTGTCACCATTCAGCGGACGCTGGATGGCCGACTGCAGATCGCTGGCCGAAAAGCCTTCCCGCACATCATCTACGCACGCCTATGGCGCTGGTCGGACTTGACGCGAAACGAGCTGAAGAGTTTGCCGTGCTGTCAGTTCGGTTTTGATGGTAAACACGACGTGGTCTGCATCAACCCGTTCCATTACGAGCGGATCATCGGGGCAGGTAAGCAGTGGGATCGATGGGAGTTTCAGATCCCTCGAAAGGTCTGAGATTTGTGAGATATTATTGCTCTTATTTTAGCTGTACCCTGTACCATGTGTACTGTCCGCAATTAATCGTACTCTCCGCGCAGCGTTGCACAGGCAGTGCTCCTGGTCGATGTTCAGCTTCTCAAAGGACATCTCCGTCCGCAATCGTAATAAGTATAGGCGTATGCAGCTCCCGGCGTGCCCAAGGCCAGGCTCTGCTGCTGCCCAGTGCAGTACTGGTCCGTGTTGGTGAAGATTTCAGAATTGATCAAGCACCAACCACCTGCGGATCAGGTCAACGAAGGACTTGACTTGTATTGTTTCACTGCTCACAAATCGGCTGCTGCTGCTTGCCACACGGAGCGAACCCAGGTTCTAGATTTCAGGTTGTGGCGACCAGAGCGCACAGCATGTAGTCGCATGTTGGCAGCTTGATCTCCTTAGAATTCGGGTCGTTCCATCAGTTTTCAAGGTGAAATGAATGGGAGGCAGTTTGGGGATGTGTGGTTGAAATCTCCACGGCTTCCGCGCATCAAATCTTCGCTCATATTCATAATCACATCAGACGCAGAGCATTCTCGCCGTACTGGCATATTTTCTAGTCGCACCTATTTCTCAAAACTCACACCTACCCAAATTTCGCAAACCTTTGCGAGTGGCCGACTTAGTTTTGCTTACGACTTACGTGGCCGCTCTAAAAACTGTTCACCACTTCTCTGGAGGACACAAGTTTGCACTCTACTTGCCTCAACGACTATGCTCTACGTCTTTGCAAAAGATAGCGACCTGCAGCAGGTGCTGCACGCTAGTTAGCTAGGCAGCAAGCTGCATCGACACCACTACGTCGTTTGCTGACGCCGAAACTGTGTTGAGCTGAGAACGGTGGCTGCTCACGATCGCTCGGAGTAGGTGATGGCTCTGTGCGATGTGCATATGCGCTTATTAGTATTATTACTATCCCCGGATCCAGACCTGAGACTGAGAGAAGTGAGAGGTGCGCTGCAACCACACACTTGTCGTAGGAGCAGCCAGTCTGACGCCAGGATGAAGTGGAGGTGATAGATTACCATCGTCACTACCCAAACGCTTGTAAATTCCTTTGCGGCCTGAGCTGTCTCCGTGACTAGACTGCCTCAGCTCAGCTCTAGCTAGCTCTGTGGGCTTTGCGTGTCATGCTACATGAAACAACTACAACATGATTTGAGTGGAGTGTCTTTGCAGACTTTGAAAATAAATTTGGTGTTTGCAAGGCACTGGGCAGTGGGCAGGCTTCATCTTCATCATGACTGTATACTGGTAGTACTGGAGATCTACACTAACCTACGTAGTGTAGCAAGTGGAGGTGACAGTTGACTGTCAAAGTCGATCAGGCACACACGCACTCCACGCACTCAGTAGTGCAGTGTGGCCCAGCTGATAACTTAGTAGGACAGACCAGTGTACAAAGTCATGTACATGTATGGACAAGGGCATAGCGCCTTCTGCTCTTTTTACTTCTTTTACTTTTTAGTTTTACTGTGTAGAGAGTACTAGAGACAATGTCAATGTTACATGGTCATGCAGAAAGCCTGAGTAGTGATTTAGGCTGATGCCAGTGAAGGGGATGATAAAACCTGGTCAGTGGTGTAATATTTTCTGTGTTCCCAAAATCAACGGTTCAGTAGGTTCAGTAGCACGAATATTTTGGTAAACCGGTTTTCCTGATCCAAAAATGCATTTTTGCACACTGTGTGGCATGGTATTGTTGAATTTTAGGTGGCGTTTTATTTTCAGTCAAAATGACCTGCACCGTAGTCACAGAAAATAAATCTCCACTGAAATTTCCCGGTTTAACAGTTTTTTTAAATGTGGTGTGCACACAATGTAGAGAAGTTGTGCCTGTACAGGTTTCGTGGGTAATAATAGTTTCACCAGCCTCTGGTTCTCGCCAGAATAACTTCTTGTAGCTTCAATAAAAAAAGAAATGTAGGGAACACGATCGTCTGGGCTTATGCCCGTTGCAATAGTGGTATCATGTTGTTGGATTCGTGTTTACTTCTACACTGGAGTCGCGGTGACCCGAATCATTATTTTCTGGCTCCATGTTGTACTAACATATCGACTTCTGCACCGTCCTTTCCGGTACCTTCGATTTGAAATTCGATTTCGACTTCACCTGCATGGATATTTTGCAAGATACTTGAAGTAGTTCCTTCTTGGGTTTTGTGGAAAGAGCAGCAGTAAGATTGGACAATTGAGCAGTGCGTTTCATCAGGATTCAAACTGTGGAACTTACATTGTAGATGAAATCTGAATGCTTTCAGCTATGCATTTTGTGCGGATACTATCGATATTTTCAAGTAACCTTCCCTGGCCAGACTGCACCACAGTGGGTCTCAGTACTGATATCTCCTCACCGATCTACTATGTATTTAAACTCGGGATTTGGTGGACTGTTGGTCAACACTTGTAACGGGCAATTTGGCCCTTCCCCTTTCACAGGATCTTCTATTTGGTTGACTTCTAAAAATGTGTGAGATGGTCAAGGAGTGTGTCTTCTTGCTTGGGAAGGCCATAGCCGTGATTACTTGAACTGGACTGCAGAGGGTTGTACAGTCGACGCTGAAAAACCGTAGCAAACCACTGATGTTGGATGGTCTATTGCTCTGGGCGGACACCGCTCAGAAAATTTATCGTTTCTGCTTGAAAAGCAGTGGGATTGCCAAGACCATACAAAGCGTTCAGGGGACAGTACCTTGAATTCTGCTCCTTTTCTTAATAGTAACAGGCCATTCACACGACGTGCAAGCACATGCACACGAGCAACCGTGAACTCACTTGCAAACCCGGCGTGACTCAGTTCACACGGTGCTGGGTGTACGTGTCAATGTATCCCTAGTGATCTCGTGAAAATGCCAGGAAGTTCTGAATTTTAGCCTTTGAAATAATCGTCCACTGCCGTAGATACTACTGTGCAGTTTCAGCAACCGAAATTCCGGCTGTTCCCGACACAGTTCTGGACACTGTGACCTTTGTTCGCACGCATAGTATAATCTTCACTAGTTTGAGGGAAAGAAAAAGTATAATCATGAGCACAAGTGCATCGGCCAAGTTCAAAAATACCCGGCTCTGAACCTGTTGGAAGAGTTGTGCCCAGGTACACTAAGTCTTGTACCCGGTTAGTTTTGAAATCCTAGAGCAGACACTGGTACCGTGACCAAATTTGTAATACGCATGCTTATCATAGTAAGTATTGAAGGAGGTTACTATAACATGAAGATGCTGCGGAAAGGTTTCTCTAGACTCTACGTTTGCTCATCAGTCTTCGACTAGGTCTACATATAGCACCACACTTCAGTGAAGCAAGGTAGGGGTCATCGCAAACTTTGAAGCTTTTTCTGTTGTCATGCGTGAGTCCCTGAAACGAATATCTTTCATTTTGTACTCTGACCCTCCCCTGTGGAATGAAAATGCAGTTTGCAATGCTGGGCGGCGCAAATCGCATGCATCATCACGTCCATGGTGTCGGTCTACTTGTGATTTTGACTCACAAGGGACTGCTCCCCCCCCCCTCCCCCCCCCCCCCTGGCCCCCTCCCAGGCCCTGGCTATGGCTATGAACTGGATCAGTGAATGTTCCGTAGTAACATCCCAAGACAAGTGACGTCAGACTTTTCTGATGTGATGATTCTGCGGCTGAGTGCCTCCCCCCTGACTCCCCCCCCCCCCCCCCTGACTCCCCCCTGAGCTGAGATGCAGACAGAGCAGATCCACACAGTCACCTTGTTGCCAGTGTTCTTGGTGTTGGATCACCATGATCACGCGTGCACGGACGGGGTTCTCTGCCACGAAACGACCTCGGAGGCTCCCCAGGCTACTGGTACTTTTAAAGGGGAAGTCCGGTGAAAAATTTAAATTTCACAGTCCGTAGAGTTCGGGGCGCTGAGTCGAATGGTCTTTGTCCGAGGAGGCTGCGGCCTATGGTTCGTCAGATACGCCCAATCGAACATGTGCGGATTTGAGCGCGCCTCACCCAGATCCAGGTGATGACGTCACAGCGTGCAGCCAGGTGGCCACACCATCTAGATGTGTACAAAAACGGCCATATTCGGAGCGCGTTCGATTGGGGAACCGTTTGTCGCAGCTTCTTCGGACCAAGACCATTCGAATCAGTGTTACAAACACTACGTACCCTGTGATTTTCAGCTCGGTAAACCTCGAGGTTATACCGTATTTTAGCCGTTTCCGAGTTGGACTTTTTCCGTCGACATGCACTGGCCTCTATCTATGGCTCTAGCAATGCGCTGCGTGCATGCTACCTAGTACCTGTACTGTAGTCAACAAACTCATCACACACGGAACTACTCCCGCACTGCCATGCTGGGGTAGGTACAACAAGACTCGAGTCACAAGACTCAGAAAACTAGTCAACACACGGACTTGTCATGTACTACACTCGTATCACTATCAGTCGTGTAGTCAGAGAACGAGCGTTTCTCCTTGCCGGTGGTGGTTGTGCTTTGAGAAAGAAAATTTTAGTTTTCCGCTCCCGCCTCATTATTTTATGCTACAGCGATGAGTGCACAACCGTGACAAGTGACAAAACAGCGAACAGCTCCCGGACCTAGAACTTTCAGATCCCGTAGCGTTGCGAGCGAAGAGTCGTGCACGTAGTGCGAAGAGTCGTGCACGTAGTTCAAAGAGCCTGCACTGTTCTCCAATTGAGTGTCCGAAATACGCCAAGTTCGCACCAAAACATCACCATGTGGCAGGTTACTGGAGTCTAAGCGAATCGGTATGGAACAACATTTAGTCTTAGAGCACTCGCATCACTCTTCTCCATTTTGGCGACTCTGCTCTCCAGCGAGCTGATACTTATATCGGCTTCGTCTGCAATAGCTGCTGCTTCTTCATCAGTCGGAAACTCAGTAGCGCTCACTCTTGACCGGCCCGCGCGGCCATTTCTTCAGCTGAATACCGAGGTTCTCAGCCCCAGACCGAACTCATGAAGGTCAGCCATGGCTGCATCCTCACTCTCACAAGGAGTTACGTCTTCGGAGTCGCTTGCACCACCTACTATGGGTCGCCAAATCATTTGAAATAGCACTGACACTATTGCTTTCACGCACTCCTGTTTTGACCTAGCTGCACGCTATGACGTTGCGAAGGGTGTGGCGCGGCCGCATGACGTCATGGCGCAGCCCCCGAAACTCAGTTTTTCAAACGGAAATATCTCGAGAACGCTTTGTCGGGGACATGTGGGACCAACACCATTCGACTCAGCGGCCGAAACTCTACCAACCCTGAAATTTAAATTTTTCACCGGACTTCCCCTTTAAAATCTTTAGCACTGACTGTCTTTGTAAATAATGTAGGCCGAGGACATCCCAGCCTCAGGCTAGCTCAGGACCTACTGCCTGTCATGAATGCATAATGAATGGTGTGATGACGTCTAGCTGAATAAATGATTCACAAAAATGATTTGTGACACCATATTTCTAACGAGATCCGCACGCGCCCTCGATCGACTCCGATCCGCCGCTTGCGCTCATCCTCGACTGAGCTGCAGTCTTTGGCGGATTTGCTGTCAACGGGACTGTTCCAGTACTGTGGAGTGTGGTACAAACTGTATGTCAACGCTGGTACGACTCGAGTCCGAGCTGGTGATCTCTGTCTGTCAGTGCAGTGTGACGGTACATGTACTAGTAGTAGTAGTACTTGTCCTCCTGGTGGGCGACGGTGAGTCCAGGATCCAGACGACTCGTCCTCCATTGATTGGTGTGGCCGTTCTTGCAGCGCGCTGCTTTCATAATCTCCGCGTTCTGCCATTCGTCCGTCGAAGCGTTCCCGAACACCTTGGCGACTAGCAGACGCTGTGTCGGCCGACTGCACGGCGGGCGCCGTCAAGCGCAGTCTTGTGCGTGTATGAGGTGCGTGGCGGACTGGTTCCGATGAAATAGCGGCGTTTGCCTGTACGTATTTTATTGAGAAAATAATTTTTGTTTCCTACATTCCCAGGATCGATGCTAGTACGCCCCGCTAGTATCTGTGCATTGGGCATGTATTTGACGGAGTGGTAATGATTGTGTTACTAGTAAGTAGTATTGTTGGTGCCACTGCACTGCCACTGTGCCAGTTTAATCTGTCAACCGACCATGCGACGCCGTCTTTCTGCCAAAACGTAGATCCCCGTTGTGCCCCAGTCTAGTCGACGCTGTTGAGTGTTGTCATCACCGTACCAGTGTCTGGCGTGGATACATGTATGTGTGTACTGTCGCTGGCCTGATTTCTGTGTGGGCACCCTAGGTCCCTAGTACCTGCTGTTGTTAGTCTTGGTCTGGGCGTGAAATGTGTGTATGTTTGCACTCATGCAGATATTGGTCCTGGTCAGCTCGGAGGCGACGTGAACGTGAGCTCGCTACCTGTAGCGCAGGGGAATCAAGGTGAGTTCCTTTTTTGCAATCGTGAGTAGTACACGGTCGTGTACATGATTGTATTTTCAGTTGCTTTTCAAGTTTTCTAATTGTGTTTCTCAAGACAAAATGGACTGGTCGTGTGTTTGGTCCGTGAAGTAAATAGTTTCTAAATCGATTGAAGATGTTGACTGAGGAGCTGCCCAGAGAGCTCTAGCGGCGACACCTTGTCCTGTCTGCTTCGTGTCAATCTGAATGTTTCTGCGCTGATTGAGTTATCAAGCCAGATTCAAGGATGAATCTGTTGTGTCCGCAGATTTATAATGCATTTTTTGTAAACAGATTGATCTCTGATTATGGTCTGACTTTCGCTTTTTTTGACTTGGCGTTCCAGAAAAAGTTTGTAGTACAGTATGTATGCGTCCTCGCTCTGTGCTGCATGCACAAACATGTATTTTACCATGATTTACTGCACCGTGTGGATCTGCACCGTGTGGATGTTATTGCGGATGTCCAAAATAATAATAATTGATTATGAGTTTTGTGCGACCTGATCGCACGGTACACATGGTACATGCAGAAGAGTCAGCGGTTATATATTCGCGATAACAATCTTTCCTCGTCAGCTAGCCACCATTCAGATCTTGCCTGATTCTTGGTGCGATCGTTTACTTTTTGCTTGCGGAAAGTAATAATTCTTTGTGGGTTGTAACACTTCTGCCTGGTGGAATCGACATGTCGGAGCGAATATTGCTTCAGGGCAATTGTCCGCTCAGCACTTGTTGCACTCCACGACACGAATAGTCGAGTGGCGTTCTGTAGGCTAGACGCGGTGGCTACTCCAACCATTTTCCGCCGCGCGACGAGCCACGATCAATGAGTACCGCGTGCGGGCGAGCATGGTGAATGGATGTTGGAGCTTGTGCTCGCACGGGACGGAGAATGGATTATGTGAAGACTGAAGTCGAGGTAACTGGTTGGAGAAGGAATGTGTGGTCAGATGTTCGTGTGTCAAGTTCTGATCGCTCAGGTCAACTTTTTGGCGACGAACTGTCTAGATGTCGGCGACTGCTGCCATCATTGCACTGGCGTTGGGAGTCGTTCCAGTGGCTACGTTCGCCGGTACACGCGTGCTCGTTAATTTTTGTGTTAGCGCTCGTGTAGTACTAGCAGTTGTGAATACACACACACACACACACTGTTTGTGTGGAATGCGTTTCACTTCGACGTTTTTTCGTGTGGAAAGGAACGCGCCCAACTACTAGTAACTGGTCTCACCGTCAGCGCACAGCTAAACTCGTCTTCTCTGAAACGCACCGCTGGTGTTCTACTTTGTGCCTTGTACGATATCCGCGTACCGCGATCTAAAATCACGTTTGTGTTGTAGTTGTTTCTCACTCCGCTGAGATGCGCTCGCTAGTTGTTGCGCAGAAGCGCGTAGATCTACGTGTAGAGGCGAGAAGGTGAAGCTTGGTGGTCGCCTGACCTGGCGCCGTTTGGACGAGACGGAGGGCGTCGGAATGTCCATTCGTTCGGCCGAGCACTGGCCCGCTGAATGGACATGCTGCAGCGCTGGGACGGTTGCAGGATGCAGCTGGACGTAGTGGTGATGCCAGTGACGAAGGTGGTCGTGCCAGGGGTGCCAGGTCCACCTGGTGCTCCTGGTCGCCTCTTTCTTCGAACCTTCCACGTCAAGTTTTCCATTCTAGTACTAGTACTAGTAGTGGGTGATACAATGACGTCTGATGTCTGGGAGATGTGGGAAACTGCAATGCTGAACAAACATTGTACAGATGTGAATTCATCCAACCAGCACTAAACAAGACCAGTTAGGCACCCACTCACCCACTCACCCACTCACTCACTTTCTCTCTGTCACAACCATAAACACAGTGTTGAAATCTACACACACTGCTCTGTAAACACATTATCATAGTGTTGCCTAATCAGCCAGTACTTGGCAAGGTTGCCCACAGAAGGAAATCTGCAAGCAAAGAGGTAGTCTGCCCAAAGTCCCTCCTGAAGTTCTGCTCAGAAAACATAAAACAGCAGGAGCTCGTGTGAAGAGCTGCACGTCAAGCTAGTTTGTGCTGGGAAGCAGGGAGGAGAGGGGCAATATAGACGTGAAGGAGGGCTGATGCGGCTAGCCATGGATTAGAACGTTACTCCTCCTGTTACTCCTGTTACACCTCCTGCAATTGCCTGCTGGCTGCACCTGTCCTTCTCCGGCTGTCGATCGGTGTGTAGACCACCGGCCAGAGCAGCCACAGGGAGGGAGGTAGTGTGTGTGTGTGTGTGTGCGTGGCCTGTCATTGTGCCACGTTACCTGTATGTAAACGAACAGAGTCCTCTGGGAGATCCTGATCATGTTACTGGGTAAGGGATTGGAGTGACTTTTGCCCTCCTTTAACCTCGAGATAATTAGCGGATCAAACGAAAGACATCGTTTAGGAATTTGATTTCGGCAGTGTCTTTTTAAAAGCTTTCCCTTCCAACCTCGAAACCCATCTGTAGTTGTCTTAGCTGTGATCTAGTGTGTTATGTGATGAAGCCGTGCTGACATGTTGAGTGACATCTAGCTTCGGTATAAAAAAAAATGGTCCAAAAGGACTGGAAATGGGAATTTCTTCCGATTTCCTTCATTTCTTCAATGGTGCTGCTGTGTGTGACGTCTTGGAGTACGAGGGTATTTGGTGCTAACGATGATACTTTTGTTAATCTGTGTGTGTGTGTGTGTGTTTGATTTTTGAACACAGCCAGTCCCATCCAACCGACCAGTCAAGGACCGGACAATGTTACTATGACCAGTAAGTAGCGGCTAGCGCAGCGATGCTCACTCTCCACGCCGGTATGCACGAAACTCACGAGCCTGGCAAGCTAGGCTGGTCGATCTTAGGCCGGAGTCGGTGCAAAAGGTTTTAGTCGTCCCTGAAACGAACATCATTCATTTCGTACTCGGATCCCTCCCCACCCTCCGAAATGAACACGGCATGCTATGCTGGACGACAAAAATCGTATGCATGTACATGTATATGTGCAGCGTTGGTCAACTTGAGATTTTAGCTCACACACCCTCTTCCCCAAACAAACGGTGTTTGTTTCAGGGGCGACGAAAAACTTTCACGACGACTCCTTAGCGACCATGATAAAGCACCAGGGAGACCTGGCTTCAAGTCCGGTTCGTGAAGCAGAGCGGACGGGTACTAGTATTAACAACCGTGCTGCCGACCGACCGTCGAGTTGGAGCTCATGATCTGGTACACAGGTAGCGTGGACGTTACGAGTGGCGCTTTGGTACCTGTGCCAGTGAACACGTGTTTGGGTGTTTGAAAATTTGCATTTAGATTCACCATATTCTCTTTGTTCTTTTGGTAATGTCAGCCTCACTAATCCTAATCATCGCTATAACGTGTTAATGTGCAGTAGCATCAAGTAGTTTCAATAGAATCGTACCCATAGGCTTCCTTCATCCTTGTGTTGCGGTATCTCATATTTCCTTCCCCGCACATGTAGGTGAGATCTCTTTGCCATCGCTATACAGTAACAACGGAACTTCTCACGGTCAACATCAGCAGCAGCAACAGCAGCAGCAATTCATGGATTTTCGCTCTCTCAACATGGGTGACCAACAGGTTGCTGGTCAGCAAGCCCCTCAGCAGCAGCAGCAGCAGCAGCAGGGTATGTGTGCTGTGCGTGTGTATGTGCGCGTGTGTGTGTGTGTGTGTGTGTGTGTGTGTGTGTCTGTATGTGTGTGTATGTGTGTGTGTTTACGTGTGTACAGAGTGAGCACAATCTTCACCTGCATTGTGTGTATGTGCATATACTGTATATTTGTGTGGAGTACTAGCAAGCATAAAATTTCTGCTGCCCTGCTTTGCTTTACGCCATTACAGACGGTAGGTTTTGGGCAGGCAACACCGGGACATCCTTCTCGCAGGCGCTGCAAGGTGCTGACGCGTCGTTCGGTGCCAACCGCTCCAGCCTGACCAGCGCGCTGGAGTCACAGATAGCCGCGTCCAGCATGGGCCACCAGATGCCCGCCACCGGGACCGCCGGTGGAGTGGCGTCGCAGATGCAGATGCCGCCGTTTAGCAGCGGCGGTGGTGGTGGCGGTGTGTCGTCAGGAGCAACGCATGGCGGCATGTACAACGGCGCTCGCCAGTCGCATCCCAACATGCCCGGGCAAGGTGAGGGCCAGTATGAGTTGAGACAGTCGCTGCATGGATTGGGCAAACAGGGCATTGAGGGTCAATATGAGTACCTTACTCTCCCGATTATAAGTCGCGCTCGATTATAAGCCGCATCCACTTTTCAGGTTTGAGCCATATTGTTTCAATGGTAAGTCATGCTCGATTGAAAGTCGCACCCCCTTTTTTCCGCTTGAATTTTACTGTAAAAATGTGCGACTTATATTCGGGGAAATGGGTCATTCATGCTGTTGCCTGCAAGATTTTGCATTGTTCGAGAGGTACGGATAAACGGAAATAATTATGGCTTTTGCCTTACTATACTGATTAATGCATATTAAAAGGTTTTTCTCCCATGTCGGGCACTAGATGCGAGACGCCCTGCCTCACCCTTGCCGCTAGGCACTGTGTCTACCACCCAGGTATCTCAGGGAATGGTGCACACGAAGCTTCCAGAGCTGGTTGTGTTTCTCGAGATAATTGTATAGCCGGTTGTGGTGCGGACGTGCGAACTTTATAATCCGTGTACAGTCAATTTTGCTAATAACGACTGCGGATGTAACGACAATTCGTGAATAACGACAGAATTTCCATGCCCAGGGCGAAGACCAATCTAACTGTAATGCATATCATGAGACTTCGGGTATGAGGACACTTTGCGAATAAGGACACTTTTCTGATTCCCCGCCGAGTGTCGCTATACACAAAGTTGACTGTACATGTGCATTTTGGCTAGTTTGACAAGTGTAGTTGCACCTGTACATGGTGCCTGGGCTGGATGCCACGTACCGTATTGTCCGGAGGTACCGTATTGTCCGGAGTATAAACCACACTTTAAACACTAGCAATTCATCCAAAAAAGCTATTAAACGATGTTTTACTTTTTTCTGGTCAAGTTAACGCTGACAAACAGGATAAAAGTCTGTAGTTCGTGACGAAAAATCTGGGTGCAGCTTATATTTGGGAAGATGCGGTATCCGTGTTGGTCTTTGGCTCGTGTGCAAGACTGTTGGTCCTCGATGGTTTGGGTTTATGTCGGCTGCAGGCATGTCTGTGTCAACGACGTCCGATCCGTCCGCCGGACAGAGTATGGTGTCGCCGACGATGCCACAGGGACCTGGTGGTCTCGGCGCGCCGGACTCCCTCCAATCCTCGACGGTGGCAGCGCAGGGAAATCTTGGAGGAGTAAGTCGTCAGCAATGGCTGCACAATGTCACTGCAGACTTGCCGGCAGCTGGCTTAATGTTGACGCGTTTTGGAAGCAGCTTGTAGTTCTTTCTCACTGTGCCGCAGAGAGCTGTTTCACACGCTCCCCGCTGGATTGATGAATTACTCCTGTCCACTTTGTACATACAATATTGGTGTAATTGGTATTTGTCTGTGTTTCTGCAGGGACTCGGTGGGCCGTTGGGACAACAGGCTGGGTCTGGGATGGACTCTTTCAGGTAAGGTTCACGTTCTTGACTTACCCAGTTGCTACCATCACTTTAGATAATCGTACTGCTGGGTAAATCCCCAAAAATCAGTTGTCTGATGATTGCCTAACGGCATGAAACTCAGAGTTACAACCAACCAGAACGTCATTCACTGAGTTTGCTATGTACTAAGCTCTGTCTTTGACAATGAGCACTCTCTGCAGCTCGGGGATCAACGGATTTGTAGATGTCTTCTCACACCCAGCTCTTACTGTTGGCCTTTATCAATGCTGGTTTGAGAGGTTGCACATCATTGTGAACCTGGTGAAGGCAATTTGCCGAAACGTAATTATTGTGAAATGAGATGAAACTGCAGGGGGAAGCGTCCCCACTTTTACTTTAAATAATTCTGTTCCTTCTACTTTCCTCTCTTTCTTTTCGTTCAGCGGTGGAAGCGATTTCTTCGCTGATGATCTTCTAAAGAGTCTCACCAGCGGCGACGACTCGTTCATGAGTGGTATGAACAACTCACAGCTGCCCATGTCCGGTGGTGTTGGCCAGTACCCTATGTCAGGACAGCAGCAGCAACAACAGCAGCAACAGCTACCGTCATCTGGTCTGAGCACGCCAAGTACGGGTATGCCGTACGGCGGTGACACCCAGTCGATGATGCCGCAGTCCGTAATGTCCAGGTGCTCGCCTGGCATGCAGGCGACGCCCATGCAGCATGCCAACATGTCACAACAGCAGCAGCACCAGCAGCAGCAACACCAGCAGCAACAACTTGCTCAACAACAACAGCAGCAGCAGCAGCAGCATCATCAGGGGCAACCCGGCGGGCAGTTTGGCATGGGCGCGTCTCGGCCCGGCCTGGGCAATATCCCGCCGGGCGGCCTCAATACTGCGTTCGGTGGCCCAATGGTATCTTCACATCAGCAACAAGCTCCACAACATCCAAACATGCATTCCCAGGCTGTTCAACAGCAGTCCGCTATGCAGCCAGTTAATCTCCAGCAGCAGCAACTACAGCAGCAACAGCAGCAGCAACAACAACAACAACAACAACAACAACAACAACAACAACAACAACAACGTATGGCGCAGGCACATCAGCCAATGCAGATACAGCAGCCGGTCCAACAGAATCAGCCGTTCAGCCAGCAGCTTTCGCAAGGTTTCCAACAGCAGCAGCAGCCTCAGCAGCAGCAGCACCATGTGACCCCGAGCAACAATGGCTCCGCTGCTGCTGCCGCTGCTCCTCCGAAATACTCCTTCCTGAATCCGAGTGCCAATGCTGCCGCGATGACCACGCCGAGTCGACCATTGTCTTCACTTCGCCCAAGCACTTCTCTAAACCCGGCCATTCTGCCTGCCACGTTGAATGTCACGGCCCAGAGCACACCAGGTATGCGATAGGACCTACAGTCAAGTCTTCCCGGCGGGAATATTTCTACCGGTTTTTGTTTCACTTTTAGAAGTACATCATTGTCTCTGTACTACACTCATACCTCATACCTCGGTTATCCGGACCCCGAAGTTACGGGCACTTCGGTCTACCGGGCACCCTTTGGGAAAGTTTAAGTGGAAATATTACTACTCTTTTGTCACTTTTCGTGGAAATAGTAACCATATGCCATATCTATGGCCTTTCCCCATCATCATGTAATGTGATTTGGAGTTACGGGCAGTGCTCGGTCCCGGACCGCCCGGATAAATGAGGTATGCGTGTACAAGCTTGTTAGATATCGAACCCAGCTTGGCATCCGCATGCTTGCTTGCCCAAGGCACACTGCTCCATGGTCACACGTGCGTTTCGTGGCGACTGCGTAATTTTCAGGATAGACGGAAGTATTTCTCTACATTGTATTTTGTTAGGTAATCGCCGTGGACGAGTTCGCCACGTGGCATCTTGTCCTGATGAGATCACTGTGGAGTCCATTTTAGTTGGGGAAAGGCCAGAGGGACATGCATGCCTGTGACGTCACTACTTCCAATTATTATTATTATTATTATTATGAAATGACCCAAAGGATGAACAAGTTTGAAAGGTGCTGACCAAACACTAGCGCCGCTTTATAACCGGACTCTCTTTCATGTGTGTGTGCGTGTGTGTGTGTCTGTGTGTGTGTGTGTTTGTTTGTGTGCATGTGTGTGTGTTTGTGTGTGTGTTTGTGTGTGTGTGTGTTTCTCTGCATAGCAACGTCGACAATAACAACGTCATCGGCTTCCAGCAGCGGCGGGCCCATGCCCACCATGAACATCAATGTTCGGCCGGAGTCGATTCCGCCTATTCTGTCCACCATGACGCCTGCGTCGAGTTTAGAGAACATACCTCCGCTGCCAGGTGAGGTCGCACGGCATGCTATGCACACAGCTGGCAATGACATTTCCACTTGGCCACATTCTCGATTCTAATTTACTGGTATGTCGGAAGTGCAACTATAGTGCTGGCAACTGAAATCTGCCCCCAGCTCGGTGCACTCACATTGCAAACGCCCAGCAAGCGCTTGTAACACTACGGATTACAGACCGCTAGAAACACTACGGATTGCAGACCGCTAGAATCGCTGCTGCACTCCAGCACGGAAATCAGAGGTCGGATGTCAGTAGCCACCAGCGTGCAAGTTTGCTAAGGTCCAGCTGTGGCTCGGTGGAATCCAGCTTGGTGAATGTGAAAACTGCGCGGCACGGTCACTGTGGACACACACTGGCCTGCTCTGTGTTAGCTTGTCGCTACTGTACGCTTAGTGTTGTATTTCACTTGCTGGAATTGCGGGTACACGCCAACATAAAAGTGTTGTCACAAGAATGAGGCCCAGTTGAGGATGAATATTGCTGCAACTTTAGCCCTTTGGAAGTTTCATACCTGTGCACACTGTAGTACTCTTCGCCACAGCAGACATTGTGAACTGTGCTTAGTTAAGGATAGTAGTATATGCGTGTGCTCTTAATTCCGGTGCGTGCGATAGTAGCATTGTTTCATGGTTGGCTATTACCCGTCTCTCACGCTTTTTTTGTGCCCATTGGTCATGAACCACGGCGTTGAGTGAAATAAAAAGAAAAGAAAAAAATTGACTGTCACCATGTGAACATAGTGTTGTGTGGTGCTGTGCAGTGTGGCGTTAGTGAACATTATAGCGTAACTCGTAGTTTCTTGATCCTTTTCTTCCCGGTAAACTTGAGCATTGCTGGCCTCAAGCGAAGGTCCCTGGTTTGAGTCCTGGTGGTGACAGTCAATTTTTTTCTTCAGACATTTCCCTTTTCCATTCCCTCAACCAGTGATTATAATGGAATACATGTTGCTATGTGTCTTTCTGCCATTCCCCTGCTGCCGTCAGGCCTGGACCACTGGTGTCGTATTGCGTACAATGAACTGGACGTGCAGGTCGGAGAGATCTTCAAGGTACGCGCCAACCAGACCATGGTGACGGTGGACGGCTTTGTCAACCCGTCGGTGCCCAATCGCTTCTGCCTCGGCCGCCTGAGCAACGTTCATCGCACCGAGAAGTCGGAGAAGGCCCGCCTGCACATCGGCAAGGGTATCGAGCTGGAGAGGTATCATACCGGTGATGTCTGGTAAGCTATTCACGCTTCTACAACATCCCGCTTGTTTACAGTACTGTCCGTCTCCAAAGAACTGGCGGGTCAGCCTCTTAGCCTAGACCGTTCTTATTTTTCATGTATTCACAGTCTATGCACAGTTGAGTCACTGTGTATACACATTGGTATGCTGTGCTTGGTGAAATCCTAGCCTGGTCGTTTTTCGGCGCTCCATTCTTCGACGCCCGACAGTGCTGTGACATCCTGCGTGGGTGATGCGTCAGGCTTTTGTTGTAGAAACGCTGCGATTATCCATGTATATGCACTGATGTCGAGACTGGACCGGGTTTTTTGGCTCGCAGGTGAAAATCAGTTGTAAATTATGTGTGTGTGTGTGTGTGTGTGTGTGTGTGTGTTTTGTGTATGTGTATGTATGTGTGTGTGTATGCATGCGTTCGTGTGCATGTACGTTTGTTCCCATGATGTGCGGGGCATGCGTCACGCAAAAACAACAGGCTGAAGAACCGAGGTGAGAACCCGGTGTTCTTGCACAGCACGTTCTGTGATCGCAACGCACACAACATCAAGGGCGACCGCCAGGCGTCAGCCGTGCACAAGATCTTCCCGAACGCCGTCATCAAAGTGTTTGACTTGGCGCAGTGCTACGAAGACTTGAAGGCACAGCAGGATGCGGCCCAGGCGGCAGCCGTTGCGCAAGCTGCGGCCGTGGCAGGTGAGCACGGCTGTTTGATGTGAAATGTGGGTACAGTGGACAGGGGTGCACAAGAATACAGCACACAAACGTACACCCCCCCCCCCCTCTCCCCCCCCCCACACACACACATGCACGTATACACATACACACGCACGCACACGCACACACACACTCACACTATGTTGGTATATCAAAGTCAGTGCTGTCAAAGACTAGCAAGATAGCTGTTGACTTGTGTTCCTATGTCTGTTGTGAGACAGTGTGTACTCAGAACAGAGGAGAAATTCCTAGGTATGGGCGTTGTATCTAATCTGAACTGTAGCGGATTCCAGCTTAGCACTGTCATTGTACATGTATTGATATTCCCCGTAATTTCACAAATTTTCGGTGTACTTTTATTTTCCGTACTTTCGGTACATCTGTTTCATACCTAAAATTTCAATACACCGAACAAACACTAACGCACATAATCTAATACGGAACTGCTTCTCTGTGCCTAAATTTTCTGTTCACCTAACCTGGCCTTTTGCCCTCATACCGAAAATATTGAGCACCGAAAATTTCTGAAATTAGAGTACCCCGTGATATCGCGTGTTAAAAAGCTGGGATTATTCCTGAAGAAGCCGATGTCCGGGCTAGGCTTGAATCCAAACAAGGTTTCTATTCAAACCGTAACCAGGTATTTCTTTGTATGTCAACACTAGAACCCAGCTTGTGTGCCGACAGTGTCTCTTGAAAACCGGGCATGTGGTCAAAACGGACTTATATTATTCGATTTTTAAATTTTTTTATTGCTTTATCTCAAGGGGAAGAGTGTGTTGCTCCCTACATGGGAGCTCGCGGTTTTCCTGCCGACTTGAATTCTCACCATAGCCAGCAATCGCATGTCACCACGTACTTTGAAAATCAACAAAAATTTTCGAATCGACCTTTTTTTCCGGATCACTTTTCAACGAGGACGAAGCAAAGTCCGCCGAACGAAGCCTAGAGGAAGAAAATCACCCTCTCCACTTCACCATCACGATACTGACATAGATACGAGATGAAACAACTAAAAAATCCACAAGAAAACTGTACGGCGCTGACTTTGGTCTGACTTTGGTCTGAGAATTTCTATCACGATCAAAAATGTACGAGGAGCACTCAAAAATAAGCCACAGATGTACCTTTATCGCTCTCTACTCCTTTTTCAAGGCACAAAAGTCGAGTCTCCACTTTCAAACCAGGAACCAGACATACCAGTGGTCCTTTTCAGCTGCTCCACGAGCGCAGGAAAGGTTCACCAAGGGGCGCAGAGCAGCATCAATTCCAGAAAAAGAGCTAAAATACGAGTGAGACTGCATGACTGAGTACATGAGTACATGTATGAGTACATGCAGAAAATAGTCAATTTCAGCGTTTCTGCTCCAAACACAGCAACTAGCTTCGACTGGAAACAAAGATTACAGCAAAGGATCAAACAACAACCATTTTCTGCATTTTTTTTGCAGATGGCTTCCTTGTGCTTGGCCCAGCACGCCAAAAATCACACCTCGGAGGAGTACAAAAATTACAACTCTCAGATGTCCTCGATTGCTGTGCTCTGGATGGCAGTCGTGAGTCAGTCAACGACTGCCATCCAGAGCACACGCGTGTGCGAGTGTCCAGAGCACACTCGCACACGCTTGCTGAGCCAGAGTTGGTCCGGTGACAACTGGTTGATAGCGCTATAGCCCCTACCAAAGCAAGCTACATAAAAAACACACTAAAAACGAGAAAAAAAATCCTTCGAGCCGGATTTGAACCAGCGACCTAAAGATGACTGTGCATCCAAACGATGCACACACTACAGTCTTCCGCTCTACCAACTGAGCTATCGAAGGAGACATGCATTCCATGAATCCCACATAGCCACAATCGTATCCAGAGCACACTCACACACGAGTGTGCTCTGGACACTCACACACTCGTGTGCTCTGGATGGCAGTCGTGAGTCAGTCAAGTGAGAATTCAAGTCGGCAGGAAAACCGCGAGCTCCCATGTGGGGAGCAACACACTATTCCCCTACTATCGCCGAAGTTGCTCCAACCCTCTTCTTTTTGCTTCATCTCAAGATACAGAATTCCGGTCGATTTGGAGAGAGCGTGTGCTAGCCAACCACGGCAGATAAAGATTAGATTAGGTGTTGTGAGTCAATGTGAGATAGTAGAGAGGTTAAGATGCATGCTATTTCTGACGTTACGCGCAATTTCAGGTCAAATTTGGCGTAAAACTCCAAATTTCGACATGAGCAGCAGGCCACTCGCGTTGATTTTTCGATGTGCGAGCCAAATAACGCGAGCTGAACTTTCGCGTCACGTCAGAAATAACGTGCATCGTAACCTCTCTACTCTTAAAAAAAAAACACTGAGACACTACTGTAGTCCATTTCTGTGTGTTCCTTCCGTTCTTTGACTTGTGTGTTCCTTCCGTTCTTTGACTTGTGTGTTCCTTCCGTTCTTTGACTTGTGTGTTCCTTCCGTTCTTTGACTTGTGTGTTCCTTCCGTTCTTTGACTTGTGTGTTCCTTCCGTTTTTTGACTTGTGTGTTCCTTCCGTTCTTTGACTTGTGTGTTCCTTCCGTTCTTTGACTTGTGTGTTCCTTCCGTTCTTTGACTTGTGTGTTCCTTCCGTTCTTTGACTTGTGTGTTCCTTCCGTTCTTTGACTTGTGTGTTCCTTCCGTTCTTTGACTTGTGTGTTCCTTCCGTTCTTTGACTTGTGTGTTCCTTCCGTTCTTTGACTTGTGTGTTCCTTCCGTTCTTTGACTTGTGTGTTGTTGCAGGCGACAAAACCCTGCTAGCTGGTGCTAGCGCCGTGGCGCTGGCCAACACCGGATCCAACGCCACCCTGGCCAGCGTGGCCAGTCTCGGCGTGGATGACCTGCGCGCCAACGCCGTGGTGCGCATCAGCTTCCTGAAGGGCTGGGGACCGGAGTACCCGCGCAGGACCATCAAGGAGACGCCGTGCTGGATTGAAATACAAATGCATCAGGTCAGTGTTTTTCTTCTTCTTCTTCTGCTTCTGTACAGTCCCCTTATGGGTGACTGCTCGTTTTGACATGGGGCGTAGAAGTTGTGAATTTACGCACGTAGTAACTACCCGTGAGTAGCAATTTCTCAAAGCCAGATAGTCTGCGATGGCAAATGTTCGTGGAGCACTGTGACACCGCATGCACACACTCACGGGTGAAGTTTTGCTAGAGTCTTTCAAGAGGATGTACTAGCACAGTCAGACCTCGCTTGTCCGCTCCTCTTTTATCCGGATCCCTCGCCATCCGGAAGAAAATCGTTGGTTACCGATTTACAGCACATGCCATGCATACCGTATATTCTCTATTATAAGCGCCGTGCTTGTATTTTTTCAACAGCCCTCTACCCCGTGCTTATATTGGAGACCGTGCTTATATTTTTTCAACCAATACATCCATACAGAGCAAGAAGAAATACATGCTAGATATCATGCATGCAGCATTGATTTCCACCAAGACCGTGCTTATAATGTTTCGAAAGGTGCTCACAGTGTGCTAGTATTAGAGACTGTGCTAGTAATGGAGACCTGTGCTTATAATAGAGAATATACGGTATATCCAGTATGTGTGTTCGATTATCCGGTTCCCTCGCCTATCCGGTTATTTTTTGTGGAAGACGGATGTGTGCAGTTAAGTGAGGTCTGACTGTATCAGCGTGCTAGTTATATCTACACGTATTGTAGTGCGACTATCCGCACCTAGACTATCCGCACGGTCGATTTTCTGGAATGGCGGGGACCGAGAACCAATGTTTTCAGCTCAGAAATAGCGTTGATGGCACCAGAGCTACAGTTCACAGTTGTAATGATTTAAAAAAAAGTATTGATCCATTCTCTGCTGCTGCTGCTGCTGCTTCTGTTACCGTTGTTGTTGTGGTTGTTGCTGTGCCATTTCAGGCACTGCAGTTACTTGACATTGTTATCCAGTCCAGTCAATTGGGATCCGTACCACCTGTTCGAGACAACTAGGTATCTGGAGTTCCGTCGCCTCCTCCCGTCTATTTCGTTCTATCTTATCATTTTCCTGGATGCCGTGAGACATACTGTACCACTGTACCATCCACCCGCTGCCTTGATACCGCCGTTATTTATCTACGTTTCCCATCATTGCAGGCCTACCCAAACCGGTTCTTTGTGTACTCGGATCCGTGCGTGTGTATTCTAGCGTCGTTTTGAATCCATGCTGATGTGGTGTGTTGTGCAATCGGGTAACGTTCTGCCTTGAGCACCGGGGTACTCTCCATGGGAGGTGGCCCACGGAGTTGTGTGTGCGTGTGTGTGTGTGTGTGTGTTCGCGTGTACATGTGCACGCACGCACGCAAATGCGTTTGGCGTTCTGATAGGTTTGAGTGTGTCGTCGACATGTGTGTTTGTGTGTGTGTGTGTGTGTGTGTGTGTGTGTGTGCGCACGTTTGTGCGCGTGTGCGTGTGTGTGTGTGTTGAACTTCAAGCTGTTGAATCCATCGGCTTGTGTGCGTGCATGCGTTCTTCAAAGTCTGGCCGCGAGTCCCATGAATTAGGTCCAGTCAATGTCTTCAGCCTTATCCAGTTTTCGGACACCTTTGGCCCTGTGCTTGTTTCGTATTTTGGTTTTACTCTTCATAGATTACTACTGTTGATATTATTCGTATACTCGTTCTAGGAGTTGACCCGTGTGAGTATTTCGTCTGCTAATTCCAGCATGATTGGCAAGATAGTGACTCTTGCCGTTATTCCGAACCTATTTTAGTCTTTCTCCTTCTGTGCTTTAATCCAACTGCTCATATGTAGCCGTAACCAAGCTCACAATGTTCTCCTCCAAGTAGAGGCTATTATAAAATAACCCTCATCTTTTAAACACCAGTCTAGTCGTGCCGATACAACCAGGGAGTCGTAAAATTATAATTTTTAGTACAGTGCATAATTTACGACTCCCTGGTTGCTGCGAGGTGATCGGTGTGCTTGTAAGCAGAGCTGTATGCAGCTACTGCGTAGGTATCTGGCTAGCAGCTCTGTTGATGTTCTAGCTTGGCTTGGTGGCATCTGAGCTTCCTTGGCCTGTCTTTGTGGTCCACTTCACAACAATAACACACACAGAAGTCTCTGCTGTGAGCATGGTGGCTTGGCAATGACAAACTGCACCAACGAAAAGCCACTGCGAAGTGACAGGAATGCGGTCCAGCACAACATTTTTGCTGACGCAAAAAGTTGTGGGGAAATCCCAAAATCGGTGCGATTTTGCATGAGCCCAAATGTTTAAGTTACCCACAAAGACACAAGCTTTCCAACTCTCTTTGGCCGTTGGAAAGCCTACCGTCTCCACCAGTGAATGCAATAGCTGCTGCTGCTTGATAGTCGGGTTTGGCTGTTATGTAGACTGTTGATGTTCTAGCCTGGACCGGTGGCACCTAAATTTCATTGGTGACTGTCTCCACCAGTGAATGCAACAGATGCTGCTGCTGGGTGGTTGATGGTTGAATTTGGCAGTCGTGTAAAACTGGGAAAATCACTGTCGCAGAAAACACCGTATTTCCCCAATTGTATGATAATGATGAAAGTCACATTCAATTACTAAATCACATGCCCATTTTCATGGATGAACCATGTTTTGTTTCAACAATAATACAATGTACTCGCATATTTTAACCTTAAAGTAGGATGTCACACGCGGATGTATGCCCCCCCCCCCCCCCTGTCTTTGCCCAGCTTGAAGATACTGCGTAAGGTGCGACATAATTATATTCGTGGAAACACTGCCATTACTGGTCAACAGTTGATATTAGTTATGACATGCAGAACAGAACAGTTGGAATTTCATGATGCAGACTAAGCCGCTCAAAACAATAACACGCTTGCCGACAGGAAATTATGAATGTTACAGTCAATGAATATAGATTCCTATAGCTCGTGAAGGGTTAGGTGAGGTATGATCATTAGAGCTCACTATCGTGCATTAGTGCCAATAGTGGCCATAGTTATGGTTGTTGGCATGGCTCCGTCTTGGCAAGACATGGTGCAGCACACACGATGAATATTGCAATGGCATGTCAGTGCCAGGGTGCAGTCCTTATCTGGACGCAATCACTGGCTCAAAGCAACTTATTACCACGAGTTCAGTGATCACATGGTCAGATGCTATGCATGCAAGACACACGCACACACACACGCACGCACGCATGTACACACACACGCACACACACACACACACAACCACACACACACTGTACTTTTAGATGTACAAACTGGATTATTTCCCCCACACAGCATACTGCAGTCCAAGCCAAGGGAATACAAGGCACCACGGAACATAATAATTATCAACAGCTATGATTGTAACAGCGATTGCAAGCATATCTAGACCAAGCGACCGGTTTCCGCTAATGCTTGGCACTGCACGGTGTGTCTGAATATATGATGTACAGTGCTGCTCGATGAAATCCAGTCGAGTCACTCAAGTTTGCACCTTGCACCATTTGGCAGCCCAGTGCTTGCAGGTCTGCGCAACGTCCGGCGTGTACTTTAGTGACGCGACTGGATTTCATTCAGTAGGACTGTACGTATGCAATTGCAGCTAGTACCAGGTCTGTCTTACAAGCTTCAGCTTGTGTATGCCGGTGGAGGCTCCAGCGGGTCTTCAGCTGTGGGTGTCGGCAGAGTGTCCAAATCATACTCGTCATTCTCGTGTCCATGACCAACGGGCAGCAATTGATCGCGGCTAGTTTGCGACATGAATACCAGCCTCCCGGGATGTGGTGCATTGTGGGTCCGGTTCACCTCCTGGTAGTCCGGCAAGCGTCTCCCATGATGGCCGATGGCCGACTCGACCGAGTTGAAATGCTGCTCATGCTCGCCGGAGAGAATGGCGTTGGAATTGGTGGTGACGGTGACCGTGTTGTCGTTGCTGTATGGCGGTGGCATTGCTGGTTGCGAGCCAGTTCGGCATTCCACCCGCGGTGGTCCGTCGTCCGGGAAAACTATCGTCGAGCTCATCCCCGTCGTCGTTGCTGCTGGTGCTGCCGAGCTCTGGCCGTCAAGAGCTGCCTCGCAGTCCGTGCAGCCATCGGTGCTTGAGCTACCTGATAGTGTTGTCGTGGAGCACAGCGGCCGATCGCCGCCGTTCATGCCGGCGGCGGGTGCATACGCTCTGCGTCCGCTTCGCCGCTTGTGGAACTGTGCCTTGGAGCGGCGGTGGATGACGAAGACGCAGATGAACAAGAACAGTCCGATTCCAAATCCACCTCCAATCCAGGTTGCCCTGTTTCAGGAATAGAGATTAGACAAGAAAGAAAACGATTGATGATGATTATCAAAACAGGGTACTGAAACAGACAATCGGGTATGGGACAACTTTGCTGCTGCCAAGCCACGTAGCTTAAACACATGTACAAGCAACGACAGTGGTAGGTGTGTCGCCGGAGAGAAGATAACGTTCATCAGAGTGCAGTCCGATATCCCAGCCAATTCTCGCAACAACGTCCGCCGGTCGTTCCCTGAAGGAGTGCTGGACACCTGGAACCAGTTGCCTCGCCAACACCTCCTGGATCAGCCCGACCAGAAGAGGTTGCAGTCCTTCAAGTGCAGCGTCCACCGATTCCTGCGCTCGAGCCACTGGGACTGGGCGACCGACCGGCTGTAGGGACTCGGCGTGGTGGTTTTCTGGACGTTACTGTGAGAGAGTGAGTCTGTGCACAAATATTATGTATGATTACGCGTCTGCGTGAATGTGCACGTGTGTGTCTGTGTGTACGTGTGTGTGTGTGTGTGTGTGTGGTGTGTGTGTGGTGTGTGTATGTGTGTGCGTGTGTGTGTGTGTGTGGTGTGTGTATGTGTGTGTGTGTGCGTGTGTGTGTGCATGCGTGCGAGCATGTGTGTGTACGCGCGCGTGTGTGTGTGTGCGCGCGTGTGTGTGTGTGTGTGTGTGTGTGTGTGTGTGTGTGTGTGTGTGTGTGTGTGTGTGTGTGTGTGGGTGTGTGTGGGTGGGTGGGTGCACATGGTTGGTATGTGGTGTTTATGTGAGCGTATGATAATAATCTCTTCAATAATATTAATATCTTTATTTCAAGATTACCCAACGCCGGCGAACGCCCTATCAGGTTGATCTCCTATTTGAACATGCGCATATGTGTGTGTATGATGTGCCCTAGCTCATATATAAATATTTTTATTATGTTATACACGTAGATCATGTCCATGATGCCTTTCCTCTGCGCAGGTCCACAGCACTATTGTTTTTAAGATTAACATCATTATTACTTCTGCATATGCATTACATACTATGATCATGCTGGCTTCATCCCTTATCTCCTAAGCTACCACCCCCCCCCCGGTGCGTCTGCCCAGTGTTGACTCCGAGACCCACGGTCGGACGAGCTGCCCAGGCCTCACCACCACTGCCGTTTCCGTGCTGCCTTCTCGATACATACGTATGTACACTGTATATCATGTGCACATTCACATGTCTGAAGGTTTGTGGTTTTTCAATAAAAAATAAAAAAATAAAAATAAAAAAGAGTCGGTCTGACTACTGGTATTCATTGATAATTTTGGCTGGTCATACGCCGTTTCGTTTTTCACTTTCTAATCCTCCTACTTTTAAAAGTACATCTTCGTATAGTCTTCTCTACGCTTCCTCCAATGTATTCTCACTCTACAGGAGACTCCCCCGATAAGCAGGGGCGGATACAGGGGGGGGGGGGGGGGGGTCAGGGGGTTCGGACGAACCCCCTAAAATAATTTCGAGCATGGGTCCAGTCGATTTTTTTGTGATCTCCACGTGCGCAGCCAGCGAAGTGTAGCGTGCATGTAGCGTAGCCAGTACTGCAGTAGACTTCACTGGCAATCCTGCATGCAGTAGTCAAGTACAGGCAGTGCAGGTACTGTACATTGTAGGTCACTGCATGCATGCAGTGGTCGGGACTGTTGTACGCGTACCGTTCGAATCGAAGCCGAAGGGTCTGTACGCGTATCATGTGACTTGAAACGATCGACAGTTCAAGTGGTGGAGCAAAACTAAAAGGAGGAAAAACTGCCACTTGTCCTCCTTCTTTGTCGTTTTTTTTAATTTCGCGCTGGCTGGACTGTAGGTTTCCTCCGTCGCAGTACGAAGATAATGTTTGTGTTTTTGTCGTGTAGTTTGCCATGTCGCGGTGGAGCAAAAGGTGGAGAAACTGCCACTTGTCCTCCTTACCTTCCTTGTCGTTTTGTTTTATTTCGCGCTGGCTGGACTGTAGGTTTCCTCCGTAGCAGTACGAAGATATTAGGGAGGTTCTGCTATACGTGAAACGTAGAGAAATCACGTAGAGAGCAGGTGTCTGGGTTAGAGTCTACGGCTTCGCGTGTTTTGGCTCCAGATTTCTACGCGGAGATGGGGTTCTCTACGTTGTGGCACACGCAGAGAAAATGCGTACGGATTTGCTGGGTATCGATCAACTGCATGCAGAAAACTGCCAAATATGGAAGGGGAAATTCCCAGTACATATTCCACGTGACTTCTCTAGGTGAAACGTAGAGCAGAACAGCATTTCTTTACGTTACGGGAACGCGAAGAAAGTTCGCGTGATTCTTTGCGTCGCGTTCCCAAAACGTAGAGCAGAACCTCCCTACTGTTTGTGTTTGTCGTGTAGTTTGCCATGTCGCGACGTCTGCCAAAGAGGCGAGCGGCCGATCAGTTGCCATTGAGCTTGGCTTCGTTCCGCCATGTACGGCGCGAATGTGACGACACGGAGTCCCAGCCGGAGAACAGTCAGAGAACTTCGCCTTCCGTCAGTTCGGAAAATGCTGCAGTCACGGCCTTAGTTTCTGCCTGTGCTGCAGCTTTGTACTTTGTAAGGCTCTGAACGCATTACCCTTGTCTTATTGGCCAAGCAATGCAAGGGCTACCGTGACAATAAAGATGTTGCAACTCCCGGTGTAGTGAACGAACCGAAAACAGTTTGGAGCGAATTTAATTCTGTGCACTCGAAAAAATTTGAACCCCCCCTGAAAAATTCCTGGATCCGCCCCTGATAAGCGTCTATCCGCTTTCGGAGACTCCTTCAAATAGATAGGCAACACAACGACCTGTCCTGGATGGATCATCACATGATTCCCCAGCAGGTCACATTGGGTACTACTGATGCATAACGCTCACCATTTGAAGTTGTTCGAAGACGACGGTCTATCGGCGTTAGCGCAGCACCGTTTCAAGCCATTTTTCACACAGCAGTGCAGGTAGTCTGGATCACACACTACGGTGCCGCACCGTCTGCTGTCATAAGGCTGCCGGGCACAAGAATGCACGTGCACACACAGACATGAGCATGCGTGCAAGCAAACACAGGCGCATACACAAACAAACACACACACACACACACGAACATACACACACACACACATTTCACATGTCAAGTTTCCCTTCAACTCCCTTGAGCTTAAGGGTTCGATCACACATTGTGACCCAGGTTGTAAAAATTCTCGACTGGCCAGAAGGAACAGATTATGCCCATGTAAACGAAGGACTGGCGTATGTCGTGAATTCTGTACTCACAATCCACTCGACAAAGCCGTGCAAAGAGATCACGTACAGTCAACTTTGCGTACAACGACACTCGGCGGGGCATCAGAAAAGTGTCCTTATTCACAAAGTGTCCTTATACCCGAAGTCTCATTATGTATACAGTTGGAAGGGACTTTGCTCTGGGCATGAAAATTCTGTCGTTATTCGCGAATTGTCGTTATACCCGCAGTCGTTATTAGCGAAGTTGACTGTTTACAAATATTTGTGCAAAATCACTTGAAATCAGTAGTACTAGCGCTATAGCATGCAGTCGAAATGTGTAGTGCCAAGTATGTGTACACGAAACTCAGAAGACCTGACGGGAGAATTAGAAAGTCCACATTCCATTCGGAATGGCTGCAATCGGATCCGTGGATCCTGACAAAGAAATCGGCGTGTTGTCGAACAGTCACGGTATGTATCGTAGAAAATTCTAGAATGTTCGGAACCGTGTAATGGAACACCCCCCCCCCCTTGTCTGTTGGAGTCTTGCAAGGAAACTACTGCAAGACTAGATATTTTTAACGTCAATCAAAGTTTACGGTTTTCGGATTTCGTGGGTTAGCGAGGTGAAATTTTACCAAATTCTGTCTCAAAACCGGCAAATGACCGAGGCTGTACAATGTACATATCATTTTGTACATAACGACTTCAAATGTTAACGAATTTGTTAGATTGGTTTAATCGTTAGAATTAAATGTTCAAATTTAACTTGGATACTGAGCCAATAAATTATAATAAAAATCGAAGAAATCACATGGAAACGAGTTATGAAGCAACTATACTATCCTGTTAAGGCACTTTCTGACCGCTCATTATCTTGTTACAGCCGTGGATTGTTGCTTCATAACTCCTTTCCATGTGACGTCTTCTATTTTAATTAAATGTTCGTTAACATTACTGGTCTTACAGCAAACTAGTGGCTAGTGGTGGGCTAGTATACTGGGTGCCTAGTGGCAAGTGATGCACAATCATCTTCAACTCTCTGCTGCTCTTGTTCTGCCCCCCCCCCCCCCCCCCCCCCCGCTAACACCCGATATGGCTTTAGTGCAAATTCTTATTTGGGCGCTGCCAGGTGGAATACACTTCCACCGGCTTGCCGCATGTCTAGTTCACCAGCTGAATTTCGCTCATCCATCAAATTATACCTAGGGTTCCCTGTAAAAAGGCGCTGACGCCTGTTCGGAATTCCCCAGTAAAAGAAGAATAACCGCAATCAATAAAACTAGCTGAACCGACATTTGTGTACTTTATTCATGCAATGTAAAAACGGTGGAGACGATGTGCAATAAAACGATGAAAATACGAAGAAATGGTGTAGAGAAAAAATATGGATTCAAACAAGTTTTCGTACAACACTCATCAGGAATCGTCGTTGTATTTAAGGACACTGAAACAAAAATTGAACTATTATAGAAAATCTAAGTTAGAGAAATAACACTAAGAGCAACAGCAGTGAAATGTACAAGTGTGAATTTTAACAATCAAAGCGAGAAATGAACAAAGGAGAAAGGAAGGAAAGACAACGTGATAACACATAACAGCAGTACATTACACCTAGAACATTAACGGCCAAGCTTGGCCGCACTAAACACGACACGTTACTTGAACAATTTCAACCCAATTATACTATCTTTCTGTACACACAAAATAGGCTTATACAGACGCTGATAGATAGCTTCCAACACTTTTAACTGTAGTCCATAACCATGACGACCACGGCACAATACAGTGAACGAAGAGTCGGAATACGAATTGCAACAATCAGGACTAGCTAGCAGATGATTGTACACTGAAGACTTGCTACCACGAAACCTACGCACAACACTGACACTCTCACCGGCACTCGTACCATCACTTGCCAGTGGCAGACCGCGAGCAACACTGACAGCTGCATTAACACTACAAATGCCGACTCAAAAAGACCCACCTTGCATATCAGTGGCTCCCACACCAACACCAACAACGCAATCTACAGCAACCACAACTAATCCACCACTCAAGCCCATTATTGCAAGACCAAGACGATCAACAGCCAACTACAACAGAAGCTATGCACTCAGCGGACAAGGGCGAAAAGAGGGACGTGATGGCAGGGTGACGGCCGAGTTGAGTTCAATGGACCCGGTCAGGGGGGATGGACGAGCTAGAAAGAGTACAGAGGAACCGGAGGATGGAACGGACGGCGGAGGGAACAGTGAGTCGGAGAGCAGTGATGGGAGTGATGGTGAGAATGCCGGTGAGAGTGTTAGTGTTGTGCGTAGGTTTCGTGGTAGCAAGTCTTCAGTGTACAATCATCTGCTAGCTAGTCCTGATTGTTGCAATTCGTATTCCGACTCTTCGTTCACTGTATTGTGCCGTGGTCGTCATGGTTATGGACTACAGTTAAAAGTGTTGGAAGCTATCTATCAGCGTCTGTATAAGCCTATTTTGTGTGTACAGAAAGATAGTATAATTGGGTTGAAATTGTTCAAGTAACGTGTCGTGTTTAGTGCGGCCAAGCTTGGCCGTTAATGTTCTAGGTGTAATGTACTGCTGTTATGTGTTATCACGTTGTCTTTCCTTCCTTTCTCCTTTGTTCATTTCTCGCTTTGATTGTTAAAATTCACACTTGTACATTTCACTGCTGTTGCTCTTAGTGCTATTTCTCTAACTTAGATTTTCTATAACAGTTCAATTTTCGTTTCAGTGTCCTTTAGTACAACGACGATTCCTGATGAGTGTTGTACGAAAACTTGTTTGAATCCATATTTTTTCTCTACACCATTTCTTCGTATTTTCATCGTTTTATTGCACATCGTCTCCACCGTTTTTACATTGCATGAATAAAGTACACAAATGTCGGTTCAGCTAGTTTTATTGATTGCAGTTATCAAATTATTGTCTCCTCGCCGTGTGTTTAAAAGAAGAATAAATAATAATAACAAATAACTAGTCTTAGTATAGAGGTTACACGATAACATCATCAGTTGAGATGCTCTGGGGAAGTCCCAGCACATGGCTGCACTGCACTTGCACTAGCCACACTCATACTGTACATTATTTATTTATTTATTTTTTCAATGATTTTTTTATTCACCGTCCAATATGCAATGGCAGAAGCCAATTCAAAGGAGGGGGCCGCGGTTAGCCAGCCATGGCAAGAGAAGGAAAAAGAAAGAAAGAAAAAAAAGTCGACGGGTTCGCGTACCGGGCGGGTCAAGAACAAGGAGTCGTACAACTCCCTGGTGAAGAACCACCTTTCCGCTTCCGTGGGACGCCACCACCCCATGATCAGGCGTCAGATGCGGCTCCTAAACGGTGGGGAGGATAGATCAGATCCACCAACCATAGGCCAAAGGCCTAAATCCCATTTGCCACATCCATGTTTTACTCATGCCAGGCCACCAGTTCCCAATTAACTGTGGGTCGCAGCACGGTTGGAAAGAACATAATTATCGGAAGAAAATAACTCATCAACATGGGTGAAATTGATCATAGGAGTATGTATACTTATTGCCCATAAGAAGATCTGCTGACTCACCCCATGAAATCATTGTCCTAACCTGGATAGCCTATAGGCCACACAAAGGCCTACATCACTTGAAAATGTCTTCATTCCTAGGTCCTTTGGAAACTTCAACAGGAAAATCAGCAGCAGCAGCCCAGCCAGACCATAAATGGAACTGAGCTAGCAACAGCCAACAGGACTGACCTAGTCTTCAACGGTAGCTGAGCCCATAATGGCACAAGTGCTACTATGTATATGAGTCTGATTGAATGGTGTGCCAAACCAAGAAACTCTCTCTCAACTCCAGCCCAGGCAGCCCCCACATGACAATCAGGACAATACATTAATAGACTCAATGCATGTACGTCATAGGTGCTCAAGGGGTTTAGCCAAAGTCCCTGTACTCCTTGCTAGTGCACGGCACTGGGCGTCGGCAGTACTAGTAGGCCCGCCATGTGACATAATTAACAGGAGACAGCATCAGCATGACACAACGTTCTGTGCGTGCACCAAACAACCACTGAACACTTAAGAGCACTTGTACTGCAAAGAGTCGTTCAAGTAGGTTGGTTGTCAGAGAAAACCCTAATCCTTTCAGCACACAACCCACTGTACAAATTAATAATCGACAAAGAGTGAGTTGAGTTGATCTAGAGCATCTTGGCGTGTCCCATTACAGCCGGCCAAAGGAAACGTGCCAGGTAAACCCAGCAGCTGTGTGCAATCCTCAACCTGAATCCCAATCTTCAGTTTGGCCGGGGAAGGCTGAATACTGCATGTAAAGTGTGCTTGTGCTGGCCATCCTCCTGCAACAAGCGTTTCTGCAACATGTGGGTCTCCGTCAGGCTAGCACACACAAATGTCATGCACATGTACATGTATATCCATGTCCTCTATCTACAGTGTAAGTATGTACCTGTCCATGTATACATTACAGTACAGCACAACACACTACAGTACAGCACAACACACTACCGCGACTACAGTATTAAAGCTAGCAGTGACAGAACAATTTGTGATACACTACTAACATATCTCCAATAGACATTCACACAGATGTTACTAGAACCTTTTTTCCGAACACGCCAACCATGCCCCACTTGCCTAACACTCACACCACACGACATGAAGAGATGACTCTGCCAAAACAGCTCCACAGCCTGGCGACGGTAAAACGAAAAATCTGTCCACTGACGAATGTGCTTTCAAACTCCCTTGCTAAGCTTATTCACCAGTTGCACCAGACTTCCAACTCTGGAGCAAGCCATGACGTCCACTACAGATCAGTCTCTGATTTTGCCAGTGTCCTCTACTTCCCTGCTTGCCCCCATGTTCAATTAGAGCCATCAATGCCGGAACACAACCAATGCAACACTGAGTATTCTCTACTGAAGGCATTCTCTAGAAGCCATGTGATGGTGCCAGTCAGTAGGAGTCAGTCAAACACTGGTCCCATGCCCACTCATCTACATGTGGATGATGTCAGCATCAACTGGCTACTAGTGCAGGAGAAACAGAACGGCAAGGGGCACGGCAAAGCAATATTTCCGGCAAAGCAATATTTCCGGTCGATGGTCGGCTTCTGTCTTGGTAAGCTGGCTACTACTGCCTTACTTGTTCAAATTGATCAAACCTGCATGTGGTCACACCCTTGGTTTCCTTTGACGGCCCATGCTGTCGCAAGACATACATGATACCAGTACGGTAAAACCTGCAAAGGCGACCACTCGGACAAAGCGACCACCTGTCCAAGAAGACCACAGAAACCAGGACCAAGGGATGCTATTTCCAGCCAAATGACCCTGGATAAGGAGACCACCTGGTAACAGAGACCACATGTTGAAGGTCCCTTGAGCGGTCGTCCTAGACAGGTTTCACTGCAGGTCATCTCAAATTGAAAAGTTTCCTTGGAAATTCATGTAAGAGGGCTCTGAACCCAAGGAGTTTGGTGAGTTTGCCTCCTCATGCAGTATCATTTACGCACCATAAGTAACGTTAGTTCCAGGAACATGACAGGTAGTTTCTACTTCTGGTGTTTATACTTAGTGTGCAACTCACCATAATAATTCATTGCATTAGAAAAAACGGGAACTTCATCCAAAAACAAAACGTCATGACACCGTACATATTCGTTTTCAACAAAAAATATCCTGATAGGCGAGGGAACCGGATAATCGAACACACATACTGTACATATGCATGGCCCGGCATATGCTGTAAATCGGTAACCAACGATTTTCTTCCGGATGGCGAGGGGTCCGGATAAAAGCGAACCTGATAAGTGAGGTCTGACTGCATACTGAATCGATGCCAATTTCTTTTGTTTCATAGTGCACATGCATACAAGTACTTCAAAAAGTATATCCTCTCATGCTTTTGAAGTGCTTTTGTTCTGGGCCACTGAACCACATTTATCATAGTTTAGCACAGAAACTAGAATATAAAGTACGTCACAAAGTTTTGTTGCCGGAGAGAGCATTATGTTGCAAGCGGAACCATAATAATGTTTCATACAATGCTATGGCAAGTTTTTTTCACTGATGGGCACATTGTTCCTGTTGGGGGGGGGGGGGGGGAGCGAATATTTCACTGGTTAGAGTTCAAGGGTCCCATATTTTCCGGCCCATGACCAATAGCAGGGCTCTCTCAGTATTCAGCAGATCTGTGCCGTGGCTTGGGTGATCATCTAGAGCGTGATGCCAGAGGCTGCTACCCATGGCCTCAGTCCTTTCTGGTGTCAGGTACAGCCTGGTTCCCTCAGGAGAATTGGAACTACTGGAAAGAGCCAGACAAGTTGACTGTGTCAAGCATAGTGCCGGTACCACACTGCGCTGAGAGAGGACTCTGTCTCACTTCTCAGCAGTAGTAACTGAGACTAAAAAAACCCACTAGTGGACATTGGAGGTTGGCAGTAGGTGTACACACTGACAGAGCAGCTGTGACTGGGCACAGTGGGCAGGCTAGGATTATGAGTATGTAGCTGACAGTTGAACATGCCAACACACAGTCAAGTTGCACCATCAGAACAAGGGGCAAAGAACGTTACAGTGAAACATGAACAACACTGCCGGATTGCAACAGAGCACAGGAAACTACCTCAGTAGCCCCAGGAACACTGCCAGTCTGACACAGGGCTGCGAACAACAGCAACAACAAATTATTACCAGTGATAGACCGGCATCCCAACACCTTACAGGCCACAACAGTACTCGGCACCAGCTTGTACAACACTGCCAGCCAGGCACAATGTAACGAATAACAGCAACAAATATGGTGATACTTCAGTAACTTATTATAGTACCATGCACACACTATACTTTTCTCTCTGCATTGGGTTTAAATATTATTGTTTTGAACTGTGTATCTCAGTCATTTCATCTCAGATACAGAGTACCTGGGCAATAAACCAACGATTTCATGTCCCTTGGAGATACCCTACACGGAAGTTTCACTTCCCGTAAATAACGTTAACTCGTGGCACTGGTACAGTCAGACCTCATTTATCCGGATCCCTCGCCATCCAGAAAATCATTGGTTACCGATTTACAGAATAATGATGCCATGCATACATACAGTATGCATGTTCGATTATCCGGTTCCCTCGCCTATCCGGATATTTTTTTGTGGAAAACGGATGTGTGCGGTTAAGCGAGGTGTGAGTGTACCAGCAAGCTAGGCACTGGCAGCACACACTCACATTCTGTCACGCTGTGCATTGCACTGAATTCCCAGGAAAGGCAGATGTATATCAGATAGGACGTGGTAGGTTCTTGTAAGTGAGATAAGAGAGAGAGAGAGAGAGAGAGAGAGAGAGAGAGAGAGAGAGAGAGAGAGAGAGAGAGAGAGAGGGAGAGGGAGAGGAGAGAGAGAGAGAGAGAGAGAGAGAGAGAGAGAGAGAGAGAGAGAGAGAGAGAGAGAGAGAGAGAAGAGAGAGAGAGAGAGAGAGAGAGAGAGAGAGAGAGAGGGAGAGGGAGAGGGACAGAGAGAGAGAGAGAGAGAGAGAATGAGAGAGAGAGACAGAGAGAGAGAGAGAGAGAGAGAGAGAGAGAGAGAGAGAGAGAGAGACAGAGAGAGAGAGAGAGAGAGAGAGAGAGAGAGAGAGAGAGAGAGAGAGAGAGAGAGAGAGAGAGAGAGAGAGAGAGAGAGAGAGAGAGAGAGAGAGAGAGAGAGAGAGAGAGAGAGAGAGAGAGAGAGAGAGAAGAGAGGGGTGAGAGAGAGAGAGAGAGAGAAAGAGAGGGGTGAGAGAGGAGAGGAGGAGAGGGGGGGGGGGGGGGGGGAGAGAATCAATCATATTTTACAATTATTGCCAGGTCTCTTAATTGCTTTTCCTGCCCATTCCTTGCCCACATCACAGGAAAATAAGCACACACAATACACACAATTGGCAGCCACAAGACTGGGTGACTTGGTCCCCGCCTAGACTTATACTTGCTATAGTAGAAGCATTGTCCAGCTTACAGGCTGAGCCTGAGGATGTGAACTCAAGCACCCCCCATAATAATAGAACACTCTTGTTCTAATGCAATTACAAATAATTATTTACAATACATACTGGTATACACAATACATCCTGGTATAGCAAACTACACATCATGTCATGTGCAATGCAGCTAGGGCCAGTAGGGGACAAGGCCACACGATGCTGCTCACCACATCACACTGGTGTGATCCAAGACTCAAGAGACCCAAGCGCAAACCACCCTGAAAAACGAAACACCGGTGAAACATAACCCTGTCGGAGCATCACGTAGGTCCACACAGCCGGAAACGACACACAACTGCACTTCTCATACTCGACGCTTACACATACGATGATCACATCACTTCCGTGACAGCACACGGAGCGGAATCGACTCTTGTCGAGGTGGCCCCTCAACGACAACCAACATTGTAGTGACAGTGACAGTTTCGTCTTCCGCTCCTGCAAACACTCTCTAGCTAATAATAATAATGATTAGCAAAGTAAAAGAGGCCTGCCTCTCAAAGTACAGTACAGACTGATGTACTGAGTGCAATACAAATACCATGCGCGCACTTGCTGGCTCATCTTGCTGGGATTTTGCCAGAACAATAAGCGTACAGTCATCTTCTTTCCGAACCATTTCGGAGATGCACTAGCCATTGGCATTGGCCGACCTAACCCGTAACCGGTTCAGGAAACTATTGTACTTTTACCCCACCAAAAAGGCTGTGTTGTAAGCCTTCCGGAGACCTGTATAACGCACCGAGTTAGAGTGCACGACACACACACAGGCGCGAACACGAATACGCAAACACACACGCACACACACACACGCACACACACACACGCAAACCCGCATACCCCCCCCCCCCCCCCGCCACACACACACAATCTTCGTTTCCTCGCGGCTTACCTGAGTGTCGACGGAGGACGGGAAGGATGTGGCGTTAACGTTGCTCATGGTTGCCACCAACGCGACCCCAGTGCTGGCTACCGTAGATCAAGAGGGCACCCGCTAGGCCAGGTCAGTGGTGATTTGACAAAGGGAAATACCTGTTCCTGTCCCCGCACCGCGCTAAACGTCCCACCTACTACTAGTGCTAGAAAACTACAGACTGTTCCACGAGGGCGATGAACGTTGATCTATGGACGACCAGGAAGCGCAATACTCTAACAGTACACTCCGGCAAGGTGAGATCGAGGTGAAAGGCACAGAAGTAACAGCTAACTAACTTCTGGTGCGAGAGCTAGAGAAAATTATCCTGCCTGGCCTGACGCTGTCCTGGAAATGAGCGGCTGTAACGTCAAGTCACTGCCACTGCCAATGCCAGAAGTGTCACATGCGATATATGCATTATAACATTCGTCCTAGGAACGGGTTACGTGAACGACGTTACGTGAGCTGATGTCATGACATGAGATGCAAACACAGCTAGCTTGCATCAGATTCTGTGCAGTCATGTACTGTCCGTATGACTATGACTATGAGTATGAGCTGCGCAGTACAGTGCGCACCGTTGTTTTCAGTTTTATCCAGGAAGTCGTGAAAGCCCAAGACTGCCGCTGCCCGGTCCCCGGATCCCTTGACCTCGGTCTTATGTTGAAACTCGGGACCGGAGTCACCGCGCTGCAGCCTGCGAATCTGCAGCCAAGTGAAGTGTAGGCTCTCCACTCAACTAATACTTACTTCTCAAGTCTCGTTTGCATGTAGTTGCACTACATAATCATTCAGTGACTGAGTTTGTCTACAATCTACAGTGATCTACAAAGCAAGGCTTCAACAATCAGTTATCTGCAATGATGACTATTGATGTAGACCAGCGGTAGACACGGTACATGTACATGGCAACAAGTAACAGTTAGTTACTCGAGTATCTGCCAACCCAGATACATGTACAGATGTACACGTAGGTCTCGGACCCCTGCTTCCGCCGAATCACGGGGCCGCGGATCTACAATATACATGATTACTCCCCATGTGACATGGTGAAGCTCTGTCTGTGGTGACCGGTGATTTCTGCGTAGTGTCGGATATGGCCGGGTGTGCGGCGCGGGTGGTCCTCGCTATCTGATTCAAGGAGCCCTACCCATAGTCATTACTATCATTGTTAGATTGACAGCATGAACCAAGGTGGATGACACTGTGTTCGGAAACAGTGACCTCACTACATGACTGTACAACCTTCCGCGGTTGGCAGAGCCCCGGTGGCCCAGTCCCTTCGGAGTTCAGACCATTTGAACCATACCGGTACGGGTGTTGAACCCGGTTCTGACCCTCATTATGCTAGGGGATTTTAACACCCATTGTGGTTCAAATGGTCCGAAGGGACCGGGGCTCTGCCAACCGCCGAAGGTACATGTAGTGGTAAGGTCACTGATCACTGATTCACTGTTTCCGAACACAGTGTCCTCCACTAGGCATATGCGGATAATGCCGGCAGAAAAAATTGGCAGACTTCGGTACTTTTTCTGGTAAGTTTCATGCATGTTTGGTATGTGGTCCATTGTGGATGAAGAAATGGAGCAGAATTCGAGGAATTGCCCGCCATAAGGTTTGTCTGGTTCTGCCAATTTCACTGCTTTTCGAGCAGAATCTGCCACCTTTTCGAGCATTATCCGCACCCCCTATCCTCCACCTTGTTTCATGCTGTCAATCTAACAATACGTGTGAACTATAACAAGGTTTATCTAATGCTAGTTTTGAACTAGTACTAGTATTAGGTTATGATTATAATACCAGTCATTACTAGTATCAAGAGTATTCACCGGTCCAGCGGCAGCTGCTCGCAGTAGCGGATGAGAAGGGGGTGTCTTAACAGCGCAACCGTCCTGGAAAAACCGCACAGTGCTGAAAAAGGTCGGATTTTAGAGATGCGCTACGCATACGATCGATATGGCCTGCCACTGGATAGTGTAAGTGATCATTGTGTCTGTGGGAAGTCCATGACCACCCACCACGCTCTCACGTGCCCGACCGGCGGCTATCCGTCGGTTCGCCATAACGAGCTTCGGGTCCTCCTGGCCGGCATACTGCAGGAGGTACTGCCCGATGTGGAGATTGATCTCTGCCGTCTCGGCCAATCGTCAGCCAGAGGCACGCCTGGACATACGGGCTAGGGGTTTCTGGTCGCGGCAGCAGTACCCCTTTTTTGATGTAAGGAACACTGACCTTGGGCCGTCCGTGCTGTCTCGTCCGGAAATCCTTGGCCACCTGAGAACACACGAGAGAATGAAGAAGGCGGCGTATGGTGCCAGAGTCAACCAGGTGGAGAGAGCGTCATTCATCCCACTGGTGTTTTCGACCTCGGATGTGGCGGGCAAGGCAACTACTATACATGTATTTCTGAAGTCGCTAGCTGCTCTGGTTGTAGACAAAAACAAAGACTTGGTATATTCTGCCGTGATGGGTGGGTTTACTGGGTTACGCACCTGGGTTCAATTTGCTTGCTCCGATGGGCAGTCACGTGCTTTAGGGGCTGCATGGTCTCTTACATGTACATTCGCCGCAAGGTCGGGGGGGGGGGGGAAGCCCCTTTGCAGCATATTGCCGCAGGCTGTGCTGACACGGGCAGAGCTAGAGGCGTGACTTCGCCTTTGCATGCCGGTAGGCAGCCTTATTAGGTAACGATTTCTTGTGAAGCTTTTGTGTTCAATTTTATAGTTCAATTGAGTGTTCTATTTATTTCCGACATTAGGTTGTCTTTTTGGTTTGACTCTTACTTCATGGTTTCACGCGATTGGCCCAATTGGTGTTGTGAATAAAACCGTTCTCAAGTAGCAGTTCGCCTCCGTTGCTGTGCCGGATGATCCGTCGCTATCACTTCCAGCTCTTCGTGCCCACAGCCAACTTCATGCAACATTTGTTCAGGTCATCACCACAACTGCGGATGTTTGAAAGGCTATCGCCCGACTAAAGTCTCGCCGCAGTCCTGGCTTGGACACTATTACGAATGATGTCCTGAAGAAACTTGCCCTGTCGATATCGTACCCCCTCTGCCGTATTTTTAATGTGTCCTATTTCCGGCAGCATGGAAACTCGCGAAGGTTGTTCCGGTTTACAAGAGCAAAGGCTCCAAGTCACAAGCCAGTAATTACCGTCCTATCTCCTTGTTGTCCTGTGTATCGAAACTATGCGAGCGATTATTCTTTGATAAGCTTTATGCTCATGTGCCGCCGGCCCTTGCCCCAGTCCAATCTGGTGTTCGACGAGGAGACTCAACCACCATGCAGCTGACACGCCTTGTACAGGACATTGTGGCCCTTCGTCATGACCACCAACATGTTGGTATGTGTTTTTCGACCTTGCAAAGGCGTTTGACACGGTATGGTTCCGTGGACTCCTAGCTAAATTATCTGCGATGTACAAGGTTTCCGGAGCGTCTCTGGCGTGGATTACGGACTACCTAACAGATGGAACGCAAGCAGTGTCAGTCGAAGGGGTACTCTCAGACCCACTGCCTGTGAAGTCGGGAGTCCCCCAGGGATCTACATTGTATACTGGGGCCTTTACTATTCTTGTTGTATATAAACGATCTATCTGACTGCATAGATGGTTTGTCACTATTTGCTGATGACACAGCCCTCGTTCAATTTGACGCTGATATTGCAAACCTGTGTACGAAGCTTTAGAATGGAACCAATGTTGTTCATACATGGATGTTGTCATGGCGTCTGAAACCCAATATCTTGAAGACAGAAATAGTCTTTCTCCCTCAACTAGACCACCCTCCCACATTTACCCTTCCCGGACTTGATTCGGCTATTACAGTCCATTTCAAAACTATAGACGCGTAGGGTTTTTGAAATATTTCAAATTTGGCTGGAGCTTTTTGAGAATAGTTTTCGGAATATTGCTCAGGTCCGCTCCACAATTACTCTCATATATTTTCTAACAAATTGGATAACAGACGCCCAATTTGGAAAACATTCTGCACAAAGTGATCCCAGATTTTATGTGGTATAGATGGTGGCATAACGGTTTTTGCCTAGGTACGCGTCTATAGTTTTGAAATGGACTGTAGTATTGTAGATACGCACAGGCATTTGGGTGTTGTATTTGACTCGCAATTGTCCTGGAATTCTCACGTAGATTTTGTATGCAACAAAGTTAGATGTAGATTGCCTGATGTCTCACTGCTCCCATTTGTCCCCCGAATGT